AAATTACAGATCAAAGAAGAAATAAAGCTGTCAAGGAGTTTGAGTTTCCCTGTGTAAAATTTTTTTAGAACATCTCCAACCAAATTAAAACTGATCAAAACAAACCTACCTTGTCTTTTTTAAACTATTAACACATCTTTCAGTGGCGCATATACAAAATAGTCCCATGCAAAACTGTCTCACAAAAAAACAGACCGAAACATAAAAAAAAGCCTAAGAAACAGTCCCATACAAAACAGTCCAAAACCATTTGAATTTTTCGACCTTGATGTTTTGGCAACGACAGCATTGATTTACGCTTTGAAACATCAAACCTGAGCATAATTAAAAGTCAAAAAACAAAAAATCAAACAATAAATTAAATCAAAATCATGGGCATCACGTTAAATTCTAAAGATCAAATGATCAACTTCCTGACGGTACAAAAATTTTTTCAACTTTCCTAAATTTGGGTAAATATGAAACGGGTATATCTAGGGTACAAAAAAGGGGCTCAAACTTAGAGAGTTGGGCAAGGGGGAAGGAAAATCAACACTCAGTATGTTTCCAGTAGTTTGCCGTTTTCAAATCAACTCTAGCTCAATTTTAAAAATCAAGGAAAAAATTTTGTTGCTCGTCACAGTTGAATAAATTTAAAAATTCGTAACAAAATAAACTTGTTTTCATAATTTAATAAGCAAATATGTCCCTCAGAAACCCAATAACATCGTTGGGTTGATATGACCTAGTCATCGTCATTTATTTTTATGATAATATATCTTTGTGTATGGCTACTCTTTGTCCTGCGCAAATTTTTCCATTTTTAGTGTTAAAGTCAAAAAAGCTGATTAAAAAACTTTTTTAAAATGATTAGTGGCCTCTGTGGCTTTCAATATTCTGAATGCAAACGAAAAAGTATTTTTTCAACCTCAGAAAAATTTTGATTTGGCCTAAAATAGCATCTCATTTGACCTTACGAGACTTTTTGATAAAGTTTTGTGTGCAAAAACCCACGTGATTGCAAACTTTGCTTCTGTTTCTAGAAGTTGGTCAAAACAATGAAAATATTCACAATTTCTCGAATTTATATCTGCCAATACCGAAATGGAATATCAAAAATATTTCTAGGTCCTGGTATTTATCTTTCAATGAAAGAATCAAGTGGTTTAAACAGCTGTGGTTGATGTTAAAAGAGAAAATAAATACTATTCAAATGCTAAATTTGCTAATAATTTTCAACACTGACGCAATAGATGTTGCAAGATGATGTTATTTGAATCATGCTTCACATTCAGTGATTCGGGAATACCATTTGGTGTTTGTCTTCAATATTCTATGTTAGTTGAATTCTTGTTGAAGACCAGAGTAATCATAGCCCTATAGTTCAAGTTAAATTACCAAATTTATCATCAATCTCACTGGTAAACACACCTAAAACCAGTAGTAGATCATTCATTCGCAATCAGAGTACCTATTTTTATTCGAAATCATATCGATTTAGTTTGGGTAAGTTTGCTGATTTTCGGCCAAACTTTTGGCAGAAGATTTGAAAGCGACATAATAAAAAACTAAGTTTTAAGCCTCATAATTTAAAACAAAGAGTGTGTTAATAATTGGTACGCTTATCAAATAGTTTAATTTGGAGAGCTACAGTCTGTCAGCTGCACCTCAACCTCTGTGAGAAAAAAGTCTATTCGCCTACTAATATAGATTGCCATTAAAAAGAGAGAACCTAGAAAATGAAGTCAATTTCCGCACAAAAACAATAAACTTGTCGAATAATTTTTTCTTAGGTGTAGCTTAGATTTAAAAAAAACGATGAACAAAACATAGATAATAGTCATCACATTTTTTAAAAGTGACAATAAGCACAAAACTCGCAATGAAAGACAACTCGCAAAAAATTATAACTCGCAGTATACTGTCCTCCACAGTCGAGCCTACATGTTGCAAGCTTGCCAACAGAAGGTAAAATTTTTACAAAAACTAAAGCAAGTTATTGCCGCAAAGCAACTTTGCGAGCTTGGCGCGCACATCGGCCTCATTTTTCTCATAATTTCGCATGTTTTTAATTACATTTCAAAGCCTGCGAGTTGTCGTTTTCCTTCAAACTTTGCTATTTGTGTTTTTGTTACAAATTATCTTTTGTTGCGAGCTGTTGCGGAATCCACAGATTTGATGTTTTTTGCTTTAATCATAAGCAAGTTCGGAGTATCCGTTTTGGTTGTCAGTGATTCAAGTAGGATAATTTAATCAAACGATAAAAAAATGTTATGCAAAACACCAAACATATTTTTACTTTTGAGTTATCTACGGATTACTATACTCATAGAGTAATTTCAGATAAAGTACACCGTCTGCTCGTCACGCTATCTTATTTTCGGCCGGATAGATTCGTGCAACTTCTTAGTCTAATACCGATCTTAATCTTACTTTTATATCTCCTAGTCTCAATAGATCTGGTGTATACTGGTTTATGCGAGTTAATTTCCAGAAGGAGAACAACTGTATTCTAAGTTTAATTCAAATTGCTCTGGCGCTGAAACTACAAGTAGTTTTAATACTTACAAATAAGTGTAAATGTTAGTTATGGAATATTATTGGTTAGCTAAGAATATTTTATAAAATTAGAGAATTACATTTATAACCAATTATAAATTCTAGTTTAGAACTGGTTCCATTTTTATTTTAGTTTGTACCAGCATCTGATGGCTTCGATTTAGATTTTTTCTTTATGGAGTTTTCTTTTGTAGAACTTCTTAATTCTTTTCACTCAAAAAGACTTTTAAACGTAGTTTTTTCCACTGAGACAAACTTTTTTTGTCCGAAATCAGTTTCAGTTATTCATTTAAAAAGTTTTGAAAATTCCTGCACACAACTTGACTTCTTAGTTTCATTTTTTCATGTCAAAATCATTAGCTGCCGCAAAGATTGACAATGTTAATCTAAAAATAATGCGACAAATTTTTAGTTTTTTAGTTTGCCTGTCTTGATTTCAATTATTTCAGCATAATTGCTATAGTTCTTTATAAATTCTGAAGCGCATTTTTTCCCAAAAGTTCACCAAATAAATTTAACTGTTCAAAAACGAGGAGTTCTATTACAGCCTAAAGTCGCTTTTGCTTCTAACTTGCCTAACTGGCGCATAGAATTTCTTGAAACAAAATTTTTTTATTAATTGACATATAGTATTTCCAATAAAATTAATTTGCTATTCACAGTAGTAGCGTAAGCAAGCAGGTCATATTGCACAATTATCTAAGCGTATGTTTCTAACACTTACCTTAGTTGATTTATTCTCAAACAGTCTCTATTTTTATAAAACATCCTGCAAAAACCGTTTGATGTATTTTGAACATGGTTCACAAGTTTGTAATTACCAGTTTTTTTCAATATAAACGCCCAAATATCTAAAAGCAATTAACTGCAAAAAGTGTGAGAATCCCACTGATTGCTTCTCTTAAAACATTTGATCCACGTTTGCTTCAGAACCCATATTGCCTAATGTTGAAAACTTATTTTTTCGTAGAAAAAATAACATCAACCTGTTATATAAAACCTCTCTGCAATTTTTGGCGGCAGTTATGATATTGGTTGATATTTTTTTGGAATTTTTGCCAATTTTGTAGAGGGGCATTGTTTTTTAGCCAAATTTAAAAAAATTTGTGGGTGTTACCAGAATCGGTTGAACTTTTTTGAAAAACTGAAAAAAATCTTTTCGGTTACTTTGGTTAAAATTTTAATAATTGATTTGCTTACTTTTCTTTGAAAGGCGTCGTGGAGGTTAAGGAAATCCATGCTATAAAAGAGGACATTAAAATATTTTTTATATATACCAAAAACGACTAATTGGGTTCTTGATTGATTTCGAGTTACTAAGGTATATTGATTTTTTGTTTTGACAAATAAGATCGCGAAATTTCATACTCTGATCCTGGTTGCCCATGGAGTGATTTTTGTCAGCAAATAAATTTTTTATTACCGCACTAAAAATTTTGCGCAAACCCAAGAGTGTTCACTGTGCTTCATTTTACTGAGAATTCTAACAAATTGCTTCAATTAATAAAGCTATTGCATCAATTGTTAAAGGCTAGAAAAGTGCCGCGAAGTCCGATAGACTGTGAATAGACACATCGTAACAGGTATCTAATTAAGATTGGCGGTCAAAATTAAAGAAAAAAAACACAAATTTATGAGAAATATGACATCATTAAATTCGTTTATGGCTGCATAAAAATTGTTAAAATGAATATTCAAGTATGGGGGATGGGGGGGGGGGGGGGGCGTCGATAAGGCCCCCCATATGCAAAGTATGCAATTTTCACTTTTTTTTAGCTTTGACTAGTTGAACAAAACATGTGTGTGAGCAACACCCCCTGCTGTGTGCAAGTGTGTCTGCTCCTCCTGTGGACCTCAGTCTTCTTCTCCTCCGTCCTCCTCCTCTTCCTCCACTCTTCCTTCCAGCCCTCAGACTACACTCTGCACTATGTGGTGGGCACAGGCGACAGCAGCAGGAATGAGTTCCTTCTCCCATTCCCAAAGTGGTTCTGCAGCCGCCTCACTCTCAATCAAACCGATGGTCCAGGTGAGAATTAAACACAAGCATCCAAGTGAACTATCTCCCCCCTAAATAAAAAAGGGGAGATTGTTCACTGGCTTAAAAGAAATATTTTTCAAATAATCAGGTTTAAGCATAGTACATCTTTGCCTTAGTGCATAAATTTGCGATTTAATTAAAAATTTGTCATTTTTGGGGGGAAATTGTTCACTCGGTCTAGGGGGATATAGTTTACGTGGCCACCACAGTTATTTTCACCCTGAAATGTGGTGTTCATAATCTTCCAAATGGCCTCTTTTTTATACAATTTTATCGCGACAGCTGAAGCCAGTGGCAGAAAGTCGGAAAGTTTAATATAAACTGAGATAAACTGAGACTTTCATATAAACTGAGAAAACTCAAGTGTTTAAATACAAAGGTTTTTAAAACACGATCATTTCGTTTTTTGCTATTTTCAAGTCAGATTTCGTCCTAATCTTTTCAAAAACACAATCAATTTTTACTCAATCAAGTTTGAATGTATTAATAAATTTCTTTTAATTTGGCTCCAAAGACTTTTTAGAAGGAAAAATCTGCGTAGTTCAACCGAAAACTCCGACGGACGGAAATAACAAAAAAATCAAGGTGTCTCACAAGAACCAGCTTCTTCCGAGTCAGGGAAAGTCAATCATCAGCCAGACGCTCAAGTCCAAAAACGAATATCCAGGGTGAGTTTCGATGAACGCAACAAGTTTAATTTTAGTTTCGAAAAGATGTGTTTTAAAGACGGAAATTGATTCTCTCACTCGTCTTTTCGGCTTTTTTAATAAATCAAAATCTCCAACCAACTATAAAATTTTTTAAAAAGAAACGATGTTTTTAATAACTATCGGCTTCTTGTTCTGACCACGGCACAAATTGACTGAGAAGAAGTCTCGTAGGGGTGAGGGTGTTGTCTTCTTACGCCTAACTCAGTCTGATATTCTACGAGGTATCTTGTTGTAAAACTAATTTGTAATCCAAGAATGTGTTATCTTGATCGTAATAAATAGTTTTCTTGTTAGTTTTTTAGTTACTGAGAGCGGTTCTAAAGTTCATACTCTGAACTCTCCGCTGTGTACCAAAAGTCTCAGATCTAAATGAACTTGGACACTTATCATAAAAAACTAATTATAACACTGAAGGTTATGGTTTCATCATCATTACTGCTATTGCAGTAGCAGCATCACATGCCCCCTGGAGTGAAAAATTTTTCTGGTATCAGAAATAATTTATAAAATCAAGAGTTTTAAAGCTCAGTTTTTAAAAGTTTACTGATTGTCTGATTGCATTGCAAAATTGCAATTCTTCAATTTTCCTCCAGTTCTATCCTCCAGCTAGGGTTCCAGCCCACTCCTTTGTCCAACGTGGCTTAACCGAATTTTCTTCGGAATAGATATCTCTCCAGTAGAATCAATCTCGACTCTATTGGCCTGTCATTCCGTGTCTTGAACTCTGTTAGCCGTCTTCTATACTCTTGTAAGGCCGCTTTTAAGAGTGCTCCCCCTGATAGTTCTTCTGAAGTTTCCTTGATTGAATGCTTTACTGGGTCCCCAAAACGTTGTGGTTCTTTGCTCTTAGTTTGTCGTGAGCTTCTACTAAACCTTGCGTCCTCCACGCTGGAGTCGTCTGATACCCCCTGTGGATGTTCGAATTTGTCATCTCTTTCTCCGACTGACTGGTTTTTTCCTCGAAATTTGTTTGCCACCTTTTGTACCCCCCCTTGAGTACTTGATCTGCCAGATTTCCCCACTCCGCCGGTGCCAGGTTCCTATTTTGGAATGTTTCCAGAAGATCCTCGGGTTTAGTAGCCAAATCTATTTTCTTCAGCTTCATTTTTTGTTTGCTTCTTGGCATTGAACTTTATTGTGCTTTGCTGTCCGTGGCAGCTGCCATAGCAGTTTGTTTAGTGGTCGCTTCTGGTTTTTCCTTCTCGTCTTGTTTTTTGATCTTTGATTTTTTCTCCGTTTTCTTTAATGCGACCTCTTCTTGTGTGTTCGGTCCACTTGACGAACTCGATTCCCCTTTGTTTGGTTTGGCTCTCTTAATGGCGAGGCTTAAGCCTCTCCCTGATTCGGTGTCTTTAAAGTTACTATGGTTTGGCTTTGTTGAAACCAGTCTACCGGGTTTACAAAGTACGCCAGCTCCACCTGCCGTCGCAGTTCTTCATCAAAATCGGTTTCCTCCCAATTTCGGGAGAACTGATCTTCTGCAGTTTCTTGCATGGCTCTGCTGACGGGCTTTTTCCAGCTCCCTGAGTCTGGTCCTGCTGTAGATTGGTTTTCGCCTGTCCAATGTCTGATTTCCGGAATATCGATCCTGCCGAAGTCCTTACTGTCGATCCCGCTTCCGCCGTTATTTTTCCTTTTACTGACTTCATGATTGCTTGCCCGCTCTTCCTTAAGTCATCTTTTCGCAGAATCGTTTTTTCGGAGAATGTGAAGGTTCATCTTCTTTATCTTCGATTAATCCCTTCTCCCATGAATAAATCATTTATTTCAGGCGCTCAAGGTTTGACTGTCCAATTGTGTCCACTAGTTTTCTGATGTCGTTTTTCGCTGCATCTCTAAGCTCCTCATTCCACCGATCGTTCGCCTCCAACAGCTCTTTTAGTGCTTTTGCTCGCTGGCGGTTTTGATATGTGTGTAGTTGCTGCTTGTACAGCGGGCTGGTATTCCCTCTGAGCTCTCCCTTTATTACGATCTTAAAGTTCTCTCTGGTTTGATCGATCCTCTGTTTGAGCTGTGACGCCAATCGTTCCAGGTGTTGTTTGTCATATCTGGTTCAACTACCTCACTCTTCCGCGAGGTTCACTATGTCTTTGTGCGTATGCGGCCACCACAGGTATTGTGAGACTCCAAGCATGGTTTCTTGCCCAGGGTGTCCTCGATGGATTCTTTTGAGCACTGCCTGACAAAATTGTACTGGGATTTCCAGTCTGTTATCCACCAGAATGCAGTCGTCTTGCACCGCCATCTGCAACCACAAGGGATTAGTATATCGTCCCATTAGCTGGAATCCTTGTTTGTCACCTCGTTCCATTAATCGTCTGAGCCGGTCCATCCAGGTGTCCTCTGTTGTCAACTCTGCTAAGAGGCTCTTGTCGAAAAAGTTTGAAATATTATCCAATGTGTCTTCCGTGGATTGCCTTTGTAGCTTCTGTTCATTTCGTCTGCGTGCTTGTCTTCTCGGTGGCTCGATAGTACGAATTTATCTTTCCTCGTCCGTCTCATCCGTGGTCGTAAGAAGCAATTTAATCACCTGCACATCACACACTTTCCTTTCTACTTGTTGTGCCGGTGACGTGCTTATTGGCATGGTATGCTCTCCTCCTTCGCCGCTTCCAGTTCTCGAGTACTGCTTGATGATGTGCTGGATTTCCCCCCCCCCCCCCCAATCAATTGCCAGAATGATAGGAGGTTTGTGTCAGCCTCTTTTTGTTGGTCCTCTGACAGTTGCCACTTTACTCGGGACTGGTGTCTTGTTTCACTATCTGAGCTGTCTTTATTCTTCCGTCTCCCTCCAATTATCTTTCTTGTTCGTTGTAGTGTTTCCGTGAATTCCTCTTCTGATAGTTCGTTCGTGTTGTTCATTGAACAGTTCCACCGCGGATCTTTAATGCTCTCTCCCCTGTCCTAGCTTCTCCATTCATGTGGTGTATCCGATCACCAGTTGTTCCGGTCGGGCTTTGCTCGTTTATTTCGTTCCGGTCGGGCTTTGCTCGTTTTTGACCGCTTTAGTTGCCATAACAACCACGAGTCGATGGCTTATTCGCCACATTCCTTCTAAAATATTCTAGAATTTTTTCGTTCCGGTAGAGCAAACAGGTGTGTTCTAGCTTACTGTTCATGCAGTCTAAAGTTTTGTGGAAGGAATTAATTGTTGCTACCACAAACTTTTTGTCTAAATCGGATTTGGGCCAGGGAGCATTTAACGGATCAAGCGATAATTAATCGACAATCCCCATGTCCTTCCCTGGAATGTGAACTATCTTAAATTGGCAGGGCAATAACCAATTGACCCACCGGGTCAACCGTGATTAATACGTTTTGTTTGATTTGTTACCATCCAGGGCTGAGGTTAAAGCTTTATTGTCCGTTTCAATGGTAAATTTTTTCCCCAGTAGTTAGTGTTTGTATCTGTCAACTGCTCAAACAACCTCAAGTAACTCTAGCTCGATTGTTGATATTTTTTGTTCTTGTACATTTAGGTACCTTGATGCAAACAAAATTGGAGCCCACAACCCGTCGTCAGTTTGTTGTTCGAGTGTGGCCCCCAAGCCGTTGTGGCTTGCATTGCATTTAACCTTTGTATCCCGATTTGCATCATATTAATGTACTTTGCAAATGTTAGCTAGTGCGCTTTTTATCGTGTTAAACACTACTGTGTTTTCATCCCCCACTCGAATTTTTTTACTGGTAGTTTCATGTTCTTTACTTTTTTCTTTTGGTTTTCCTCCTTAAGGAGTGGAAGGAGTTTATATGTTTAGCTTGCTGCGTTTGGGATGAATTTTGCAGGGTGGTTTATACTACCCAGAAAAAATCTTAATTGCTCTAGTGATTTAGGTGAATTAGAATTTTGAATGGCTTCTGTTTTTGTGAATTTCGGTTTGACCCCCGATTCCGAAAAGTGATGGCCTAGTCACTCAAATTTTGATAAATTCAACGCTAGATTTTCGTCATTCAAGTTTTTAGTACCTTCTCTACTAACTCTTTGTGTTCTTTTTCAATTGCTTTTAACACAATGAGGATATCGTCTAGGAAACAAAATGTGTTTTTGCATGGTTGATCGTTCTGTCCATGGTTTCTTGAAACGCAGCCCGTGTGTTAGCCAGACTATAAAACTATATGAGGAAACGATATGTTCCTGTAGCGTTTCCCCGACGATATTGAAGTTACACTGTCTCGCTGTGTCTACAGCCAGTTTTGACTGACTATACGCATGTTTTAGGTCTAGCACTGTGAAGTAGAGTGTACCCTCTTTCTTATCCGTGACTATCTGATTTACCCCATCAATAAGCTCGTCCACATTAGGCATTTAATACTTGTTTTGAAAAGTTGTCTGTTTATTGGTTTTGCATTAAGTGCCAATTTTACCGAATCATCTTTTTTTTAATGTTATTACAATTGGAGCTCTGAAACAATCACTTGTGGATTTATCTAATTTAGTTATGTGACCCTCTGTCAGTAATTTTTCAATTTTTTTGAATTGAACTCGTTTTGTATTTGAATTGGTATTCTTCTCCCTTTTTCCTGAATCGGGCACAAGAGATATATGAATTTTGAGCTCCCTTTGTGGTTTTTTGAGATCCCCTGTTTTACAAACAAATCGTTAAATTTAGTTAAGAATTTGTTTTTCCAACCTTCCGACTGCTCGCACATGAGCACGTCAAACCGTGACAGTTCTTTTGGGGCTGGTTTCTGTGTGGTCGAGATCCCCACCTGTCCTTGTAGATCCAAGCTCATTATGCATCTAGTCTTGCGTTGCGTCACTAAGAACGTGGCACCTTTTACTTTCCAACCCGCAGATCGTAGATTTGACTTTAACGTACCCAAAACACAGATCGCTTGTTTGTCGTAATCTACGAATTGTGTAGCCAAATTTTTTTGAAGCGCGCTCCCCCCTAAGTAAGTAAATATTTGGGCCGAAGGCGCCTTTAGAAAATTTTTAGGGTCCGTCACCAAATATTGATATCTCAAAAAAGTACAAAGGGGGACCCTTTGAGTCGGCAAGGTGTCGAATCCCTGAGGGGGGAAGCGTCCCCCCCCCGCGCCCCCCTAAATCCACCCCTGATTATAATCGATTGTGTTCTATTTTAAAGTTAGGTACAAAAAAACTCAAATTTAATCAATTTTGAGCCTTGGACGTCCAGTGCCTGCATTTTCTTGAACTGGATTAGTTTTAGACCAAAGAGCATGAAGACAAGTTTTGCCTAATTTTGTAAATTAAATTTGCACAAATTGATTACCAAAAAAAGGCCCGAGTCGATCGTTAGGTACAACGATACAACAAATTTTTGGCTATGAAGGTCAAACAAATAAATTTCAGTCAAAACTATTTGTTTAATTGCTGACAAAATTGCACAACAATAAACCCTCACGGACCCCAAAAAATTTAGCAAGGTTATAATTTTCTCAATTTTGTATAAATAAATTTGTTTTGTTAGTTAGACAACAAATGTCATTTCTACGACACAAAACATCATTTAAAAAAAAACACAGATTTAATGCTTACGCCAATGTCTGTAGATTAAACGCCATTTTTGAAATTTTTTGGGCTGCATGAGATCCTCACCATGGTATTTTTTTAAACCAGAAATTGAAGTAGTAGTTTTGGCGTAATTTTTCATTCCTAAAAAAGATCTTCATAAAGACTGAAAAAGAAGCTGATCTTCATAAAGACTGAAAAAGAAGCTGATCATCGCAAAAATAATTCTATCGTTTTAGTTTTGCTAACTTTCTTTGGAATATTTAGTGCAATAACTTTTCGTCTCAAACCGACCCAGTTCGATAAAAACGCGCCATAAAATTTATTTTTTTTTCGTTTTTTTTCGGATAGTTTAAGCCACCCACAATCGATCATGATTGTTTTTTATTGTCCGTCTCCATAAAACACTGAGATAATCGAATATAGTGGCTTAAAGCAGGGACGGATTTAGGGGGGGGGGGGGAGGGGGCGGGGAGGGCAGACGCTCCCTTCTCCCTCAGGGATTCGACCCCCTGCTTTCGATAGCTCAGAAAACCAATTTGGTCGACCTAAAACAAAGGTCGACAAAATTTCGATTTTTTGTTTGAAAATCCGCCCCCCTCTCGCGAAAATCCTGGATCCGCCCCAGGCTTAAATATCAACTATAAATTGAAAAATTAAAAATCAATGTAATCCATTTTATTCGATTATAAATCAATGGATTCTAGGAAATTTGAATTATAATCTTTTTATAAAAGAAGAGCCTAAATTTTCTTAAAAGGGATCTAATTAAAATTGGAACGTTGCAAGCGTTAACTTGCAGTCTTTTGGCGTGTAAAAAAATAAATTTTTTGTATTGTTTTCTTCTTGTCTTTTTTCCCAGTGTTCTATTTGGGGTATCTCTACCCCCACTTACCCTTTAAATATTTCCATCGCCCCTTCACTGACCCCCCCCATTTTTCACCTTCCCCACATTGACGTTCCTCCCATCCCCCTCCCGCTTACACACACTTAAGGAAGTGTGGCAAGCGTGGGGTAAGTATGGCAGTAAGTGTTGAAATTGGGGGGAAAGGTGAGGAGGAGGGTGAACGGGTATACATGGGGGATGAGTTAAGTATGGGGGTGTTCTATTTAGTCGTTATGAATTAGATGAGGGTGTGAGTGATATCGTTTTCTCGTTTTTATCGAAAACTAACTAAATTTGAGTCGGTTTATAACTTTAGTAGGCTGTGATGAAGGCAGAAAAAGCTTCGAATTTTGCCGAAAAGCTGGAAAAGGTTCATAGTCCGTTAGCTAAAAGATTAGCAAAATTTATAATCCAATATCATCCATTATAATAGAATTCAAGCGAATTGTAAATGAGTTACTTTTTTTAAAGTCTTGGATTATTACCCTTGCGATAAGCAAGGGCATTTAATCGGGTATTAGACTTTTTAAATAAATAAAATCGATTGTCTTGTTCCAAATTGTGACTATAATCGATTATATTGGCAACTTTTTTGAAAAAAAAGGATTGTAATCGATTGTTATCCATGGAATCTTAGTGCTCATTTTGGCTGCGAACTCTCGCGAAGATTCATTCATGTTTTGATCGGGAACTGTAACTATCAGTCGATCCTTCTCTAATGAAACGTACCCCCCCCCCCCCGGTAATTTATCATTTAGGATTTTAAATTTGCCTTTCTTTCTAGTATTGACCACGATATGAACAGCACTGAAGGCTTCTACTTCTTCAATCTCAAAGTCTCCGTAGCAGATCAGGAACAGACATCAGCTGTGGCCATCGGAGTATTCGACTCATACTCCCAGGCCAAAGCAGCTCTGGGGTAAGACAAAATATTTCCAAAGGTTAACACTCACTGAAAGTGACAATGGAAGGAACAATGGCATTTGATGTTGTGTCGAACGGATTTTAACAATTTCAAAGAGAGCTACAAAGGTAACGAGATACTTCAAAAATTTTTAAAAAAATTGTCAAAAATTGCTAGTTGAAAAATTGAAATTTGTCTGGAAAAAACCACCCGATTACAAACATTCCAGCACTTTCTTCGAAAGTCGGAACTCTAAATTGAAAATTAGAAGTAGAAATCATTTTGAATTTTTGGGTGTTTTCGTGTTACAACTAATTGTGGCCCAAAATTACCAACGTGTTGAACGAGCTCATTAATATCTTTGAAATTCTGCTTTAGATTTTTTCCATATGTTTCAAATCAAACCTGTTGAAATCAAGATCAATTTTCAAACTGAAAAACATCTGATTTTGGGCCATACAGCAGTGAATCCTCGAGTTTTTACTCAATAAACCAGAAAAAAAGTATATTTATTTATTTCAGATTATCCGGAAACAATGATTCCTCTCACTGTAAGTTCCCATTTGAAGAAATTTAACGAAAAAAAAACTTAATTCAAGAAACTTAAATTGGATTTAGGTTTACAATTTTTATGACTAAGTCTCACTGCCACGGTTAACTTAAGAAAAAAATTTAAAAAATTTTCTTCGTTTAAGGTCTCGATTCTCCTACTCATCTCGTGCAGCCTGGCCAGAATTGGAATCTTTATTACGAGGAAAACAAACCACGTGACGTGATAGTGGTCATGTGTCCACAAAACAAAAACCAACGTTGGTCCAAAGGATACTTATGTCCAAAAACATATTATAGCCCAGTGGGGTACTGCCCAGGCAGTAACCTTGATGCTATGCTAATGTTATTTAAGTATTAATGTTTTATATTATCAGTTCGAAGTCAAGCTGGATCTAACCTTACTGCCAACCGTAGTTGGCAGAGCTCACTATGCAGCTAAATCTCGTAGAGAACAAATACACGCTCTGAGTACTATTTGAATTAAACATTTAGTAAACTTGTTATTCTACAAATCTCAGAGTTCCATAGAGTATCACATGCCCCAGGTTTCCTTACCCAAGATAATCGATCAGATATGGCAATACCAGTCTTTTGGATGACTGCAAACTTGAACCCTCCTTGATAATTAAAAATTTGGCTAAAACATTTTTTGATGGCAGTAACAGTTAAAGAAATGTCAGCCCGGAATTACTACTGAAAGAACCAAACGATGTGGTAGAGGAGCCTGCACCAAGACCAGAATCACCAATAAACGGAAAAGATCCGCCTACAAAAGCAGCAAGAGAATGCAGGAATAGACTAGCGTTACAAAAAATTGTTCAGGAAAACAAAGAAAAGCAAGCCAGAGGCTCAAAAAATGGCAACAAAATCTTCCAAAAACGACTAGTTTCCCGCCTGTTCTTAGCATTGCGAACAGAGGGAAAAAGAAAGTCATGCAAAATAACCGCATGTGGAAAAATCGAAGTTAACATTCAGAGATGTCATTGAAATGGCGAAAATTGCAATCCAAAAAGTAAAGAGGGAAGTGTATGAGAGATATAATTTATTCAATAGAACTCAACAACAAGGGGAGACTTTGAAGCGTTCCGAGCAGTATTGACTGCACGAGCAGCCAGGTCAGAAATAGAAACGTTGGAGGATGAGCTTGTAAGAGATGTTTTCAGTTCAAGAGTGAAAATGAAAAACTACAGGACACACTGACGCTGGAGACATTAACAACGTAGGAGGTGCCTGAAAAGGCAATAATGTTCAAACGACTTCGGCGTTTCTTTAAAACAATTCATTAATTGCAGGAGCAGCTTCATCGTCTATGAACCCAAGCTCCAATATAAAACAAGAACCAATAATTTTGTCAACCGAGGATTCAAAAAGAAAGATCCAAACAAAAAAAGTAACAACCGGAACGCGAGATAGAGCGAAATACAGTGGAGAAAAGAAACCATTTATTAGATGTGGCAGACTTTTTGTGGAAAGACACTTGAAAAACTTTACAGCAATGCAAAAATTATGTAGAACTTGTGGAAAAGCAAACCATTTTGCGAAAATGCAACGTTCATAACAAGTCAATGAAGCGACCGAGGAATCTTCAGAGATCTCAGAAACAGAATTTAATTTCATAGAGGATTATGATGACTGCAATAATTTTCAAATTATGTAAAAACATGATGAATGGCTGGAAATCAAAGAGATTGTAAACTAAATTCAGAGACGTATCAAAAACCAAAAAATTCACACACGGATTAAAAAAAACTTGGAATCGCAGTGAAAAAATAGACATCACGAAGGACCCAAATCTAAACAAGATGAAGTCATTGAAAGCATTGTTTAGGATCGATCAACGAATTATTCATATAACAGTGAATACAGGCAGCCCAATACCATTTCTAAAATGTGCGACGGCAAAACAAACACTGGATATATCCAGTAGACGAAAGTTTTTATCCAGTAGAAATTTAACTGTCAGCACAATTTGTGGATTAAAAATAACACCCCCATCTTCACCTTGAGAGCGCTGAAGACACACATAAAACCGCCTGGCTAGGAAGGGAAAGGGGTCAACTTACTGATAACCGAAAGGAAAACACGATGCATTTCGGGGTTTCAAGTACAAGGACGACTTGAAATCTCTAGAATTCAGAAATCAACACCCAGCAAATTGTCCAGGTTTGACGTGCCAGGTTAGACGTGCTAGTGTGTGAGTGAGTAGTTTGATGGTTGAATAACAAAATTCTTCAATATATTTAACTAGTTGTTTGTCTGACAAGGCAGGTCAAAAAAATCATATAATTTATCAAATGACTGCTAGACGAGTGTCACAAGTAACTGCTTCATCGCCACAACTGTAGTTACGGCGGAAAACGATGACTCAAAAATATTGGGATTGGACGCTAAACCGACAAATATGCAATTGTTTAAAAACAAATATGAAATGCCTAATATTTACGATATACTTGATGGTGTGAGCCAGATTGTTACAAAACAACAGGAGGAAGGAGTGTACTTTTTGGCCTTGAACATGAAGTACGCAAATAATCAACTGTAACTAGCTGGAGAAACAATAGAACTTCAACATTATTATTGGAAATGCAACGGATAGAAGCCGACAGAATTCGAAAACGCTATGGACCGAATCCAAAACAAGGCATAAAACAGTTTTTGATTCCTGGATGACATCCTAGTAGTAGCTGAAGATAAAGAAGTAGAACATGAGAAATTATCGAAAAGGTAATGAAAAAACCTAGATCAGGAAAACTTTGAATTAAAGATGACGAAGTGCAAGTTTTTCAAAAAAGAGGGAGTTTGGTTGAAGCATCACTTGTCTGAAAGCGAGTACATTCCCCAAATATCGAAATCCGAGGCAATTTTAAAGCTTAATCCACCAACTTTTTTAAGCAGCATAAATCCCTTAGCAAAACTCCTTCTTAATGCAGCTAACAAGACACAAAAATGAAGACCATCGTTAATGAAACAAAACTAATAAAAGAAACTGAAGAATGTCGAAAAACCGGTGACAAAACTCGAATGATCAGAGGAGCATAGAAAAAATATTTGAAAAGATCAAAATTTTGGTTGCAAACATTTCAAGTTTGAATTACTATGACTCGAAGCGAGAAACTAGAATCAAATCCGACGCGAGTCATATTGGTTGGCGGCTAAATTAGAGCAGCAAAAAAAAAAGATGAAGAAAATTGGTTACCAAATTCATTTGCTTCATGGCACCCAAACGCCAAAAAAATGAAAAAATTTTACCAATTACTTAGAGTTACTTGTTGTAATTTGGGCAGTAGATAGATTTAAACACTACTTTTTAGAGACAAACTTCATCGTAGCCACAGAACATAAGGCGCTCATATTGGCCCTGGATAGTAATAATTTAGATAAAACATCCCAATCAAGACTGACCCGGTGGAATGATCGGCTTTTACCATATCAGTTTAAGGTAGCTCAAATCCCTGGAAAGGATATGAGGATAGTTGACTATTTGTCCAGAGAGCCGAATGGAGACCCATGGCTTGAATCAGAATTAAATGAGAATTTAGTAGTCACAGCCATAGAATCGTTCCGATCAGTACTCGACTGTAAAAGCAGTAGGCTCAATGAGAAAAGTTCACTCAACCGGAACGAAAGCGTTCTAGAATACTCTAGATGTTGTAACCCGCCCGAATTACAAAACACGTCGTCTCTCGGTTTCTATAGCAACCAAAACACGTTCAAATGGACAAGGCTCAACTGGAGCGAAAGCTACTTTGGTCCAGAACCCTAAAAACGTTATAAATACGACCGTATAAACCTTGCTCAAAATTAGTGTAGAAGAATCGATCGGACAGAGCAGTTGACAGAAAATTCAAAAAAAAAGAAATAAAAACGAACGTTATGGACGGAGGAACTTGGAAGAGCAACGAGAGATGAGGAGAGTGAAGATAGCAGAACTGAGCATCAGGAGATGGAGAAGTAACAGAAACATTTCAACTGTCAAGTAAAGTAGTCAAAGGGAGTAGAAGACACTATTAATTTTCAGACAGAAACGAAGTCAGCTCAACGTCTCGTTCCAGAATAAAATGGTTAGTCCCAACCAAGGAATACATACCGGAACACCAATTGCTTTCATTCTGGCAAATAATGGGAGAAGAAATTGGAGAAAACCGACGGAATTTAGTAGCGGAAGAGGAACAAAAGGGACCAAAACAGATCGGAGGAACCCATCGAAGAACTTAAAGAACCAATCTACGAAGTAGAATTGACATTGAGTGAGGAGGGGGAACACGAAGTGCAGCTAGTGGATCAAAATCAACGGGTGAATAACCTTTCAAGAAAAGATGCGCACAAAATTCAGGAGCAGCTAGAAGAACAGGGATTGTCACAGCTATCACGATTATTCGATAAACGTCTGCTCGCAGAACTCACATCGGAGGATTTCTGGCTAGACAGAATGAGGCGAGTAAATAGACGAGAAGAGAAACAAGCCTTCGAGATGATGGGACCATACATGAACTCGCTGTTAACGGACGACTGTATTCTGGTGGACAACAGAATAGCAGTGCCTGTCGCATTGAGACCAGCAGTAAGGAAACGTTTTCACAGAGGGCACCCGGGACAAGAAGCCATGCTGAGCCTGTGGAATTACCTGTGGTGGCCGCATATGAACAAAGACATAGTCAACGTGGCAGAAAAGTCCCATAGTTGACACGATACGGTAAGAACGTTAAAAATGTTTTAACAAAACTCGTCAAAACCATAACCAAAACTAGGTCAAGAATTGGAGCTAGACTACGCAGAGCCCATAGAAAATCATACAGGAAAAAATCTTCATCTCCTGAGCGCGATAGATTGATTTTCAAAGTACCCTTCAGTAAAAGTGACTAAAAAACAGGTGGAAAATCAACGAAAAAAAATCTTGCGATCGTACATCGATATACACGGAATACCGGAATCGAATAGACACGAAAAAATTATCGGGATTTGAAAGAAATGCTATGAATCGATTTTGAGCGGAAAGGAATATTGAACAAAAAATTTGCTGATTGGGAGACCATAAGGGTTGCAGTTTGGTGGAAAGAACCATTCAAATAATTAAAAAGAAAATTAGGTGATGCTATTGGACGAAAACACAAAATCGATAAACCTTAGTTTATGCTCAATCCTCAGAGATGGAAGTTATAGAATCCACAAAAAATCACCCTTCAAAGCGCAAATTGGAATGAGGGGCCGCGACACAATTCCGCTGTTTAAACAGCAGATTTCATCATTTAAAGAAGACGAACGGAAAAAGGTTTTTAAGAACCTCCTCGAAGTGATTATACGCTGGAGCGAGGAATGAAGAGACACAGCAGCCAAGGACATCAAAAAGAAAATTGACTCAACTGGACTAACAAACCTCGAACTCATAAAAGGACTGATCTAATCGTGATAAAAAGGCTTCAGAGAGGACAAGAAAGACGACAGATGCACAAGCTCGAATTAAACTATCCTCAGAAAAAACGCAGACAGAAGGAGCGGCAAGGCATCAAGAAATCCATTGAAAGGGAAATTTATGTTGGAATTGGCCTCGACAAAAAAAACCGGAGGGAAATTTTATAGAAACAGAGACATAGCAAAAGCAAAAACAAAGCTGACAGAGGAAAATCCAAAGAAGTCGGGAGCAACAGAGCCTAAAGAAAAGCACACAAGAGATGAACACAAAAAGAATGTAGCAATGGGACACCGAAAAAGCCCAAAAGCAAGCACTCGAAAATGGAAATCTCGAGATCCCAGGACAGTGAGAATGAAGAAAATCAAGACATTCAAATGCACTGGCAGCAGAAGAAGAGCGAAGAGAGAGGATAAGTAGAAAAGGAAACATTCCATGATAACCTAACGTACGTCACGTCGAAAAAGGCAAGCTCTGGGGAAGGTCCGAGCTTCGCAGTGGAGCGAGTCAAACCAAACAATGGGAGACCAAAACCCCTGAATCCGAAAACGCAGGACCAAGTCGTTTTGAAGGAAACAGAGAAAAAGGTGACGGCGGAAGAGCCAGAACAAACAAAGCTGTATTAGCAGCTAAGAAACATACAAGGATCTCTGAAGAGACGGTGATTGAGAAATTATCTCAGAGCAAAACACAGGATCCTGGAGAGGGGACAAGCAGCTCAACTCGAAAGAAATCGTCAGAGAAAGCTAAGAAAAAGCTAAGAAGAATCAACTCGAAGACGAGACCGGAAGACATCCTTGATACGTTCCAGAACCATGACTTGGCACCAGATGAGTGGCACGCATTAGCAGATCAACAACTATAAGAAAGGTTCAGAAGGCGGCGGTTGAAATATGTCTAAGAAAAAACCCGAAAGCGAGGAGAGAGGGGATAAAAAATTTGACTCGCTACCGGGGATTTCTGAAAAGTCAAGTCAGGAGGCAGGCAACCTGAGGAGGAGTTCATGGTAAACCAAGATTAAAGAACCATCGAGATTCGGGGACCCTGGGAAACGTTCTGTGAAAGACGCATGGAAGCCGACTAAAGAAAGCACTAACCAACTAAAGGATGAAGCTAGTCAATTTGAAGTACAGAGACGATCGACAGATCGAATGAAGATTAAATCTTTTTAAGCGGCATCTACTTCAAATGAGGTTTGAATACAGGACCCTCGACCCGGATTTCGAATTGAACTAGATTGAAAGTTCGTCAAAAAAACTAGATTGAAATTTCGCCGATAAAAAAACTCCTAAGTTTATTAATAAAATTTTATCTACTATAAGTGTTAATTTTTTTACTGTCTGTAGCCAGGGGAGTATCGTACTGCGCAGGCAGTAACCTTGTTGCTATGCTAATGTTACTTAAGTTTCAATGTTTTTTATTATCATGTCAAGTTCAAACTAGGTTCAACCTTACCGCCAACCTTAGTTGGCAGAGCTCACTATGCTAGAGCGTGACTCAGCAGCTAAATCTCTTAGAGAACAAATACACGTTTTGAGAACTAATTGAAATAAACATTTAGCAAACTTTTTGTTCTACAAATCTCAGATTTCCTTAGATATCAGACCCAGATTTTATGCTTGAAATTGGATCTTCCCTATGTTCTTTTTTCATTCAATTACTAGGAGCTGCCAATTATTGATTTTCTGTAAGAGTTTTGTGGGGTCTTGTCGGCCGTAAGGACAAGACGACAGTTCAATTTCAAGTACAAATTTCAAAGGTAGTTTATTTTTTAGGCATCGAATGGGCTCAATTTTGAGAAGTATCTCAGCTCGTAGATATAATCCCATTCGATCAATATATTTTGAAATGCATACTTGCATCAAAATATGCTTACTTGCATCAAAATTTATAAATTCGAATCTTACAAACATAAGTTGCGTTGGTCTGCAATTGATTTTAGAAATATACGCCTGGTATGATTTGGAAGTCGTAAAGTACAACACAGTTCTCTCGAGTGATATGAGTTGTCAGGACTACAACGATGACTTCAATGTACACTACTGCCATGGAAGCAATACATGCAGTGTTGGTCTGGTTTTGCTTACGACCGATGATCTGGACTACTTCTCATATGATGTAACTAATAAAAAAGAACAAATTGTATTAGGATGTTAATTTTACAGAGAGTGGTGGTGAAGTGTTTACGTCTCTACCTCTCAATCGAAAGGTCGGATGTTCGCGGCCCACCATGGTCCGTTCTTGTTGCTTGAGGGTGAGGCAACATTACCGAGCCCAGAAAAATAGCCAAAAACAATTGCATGTAACTCTTAACCAGAAGAACAGCAGCAGTTTTCCGTTAAGACCAGGACAGCTCGTACGATGGTCCTTTCGCTTGTGGACAATTCGTCTTAAAGCTATTGATTCGTGGTAGAAAAACGGCATAAGATGAAACTTTCTACTTCTAACTTCGTATATATCCTTCTTAACTTCTTGCATGTGCTGACATCATTAAGTTGCATGTCACTCTTGATTTTCTGAACAAAAAATTGCGCACTTTTTTTATTCAACCAGCCCGGAATCCTAAAACGAAAGTTAATTATTTAAGCCAGCGCAAACGAGTGCATAACCAACGCCCATTAAGCTGTGACTTCCTTGCAAGAGCTCATTTTACAAAATGCAGCGCACGGTGCCACAATGCCATAATTTTTATTCCTGAATCATTCACGATGCTGATTTTCTGTCGATATTGTATATGAAACAACAAAATCGATTGCTTAATTATTTCAAATTTTGAAAATTGTTCAGTGGTTTCAATTTTTGCTCTTTTTCAGCTGTGGACCATGTGGACTCCCATTGCTCTTATGTCAGACAGTGACCTTGACCTCAAGCGAGAGACCTTGACCTCTTCTTCTTCTTCCGCTGCTGATCTGGGAGCAACTGTGTGGTCTGTGTCTTGTCACTTCAGAATGGATGTTCTGGCCCCTATTTTAGCAGCAGAGGTGTGTGTTACTGTCACTATCTTTCTGACTTCTTGCATGTGCTGCAGAAGGGCAAAGAACCCGTATTAATAAACAGAAGTTATTCTCAAATCACACCTGGACGGAAGCCAAAAAACAAAAATACAAAACAGAAGCATATCAGAATAAATGAACATCAGCGTGGCGGCTCAGTAATCGTACAACCAAATCTATCATAATCTGAAACCTTCTTTATTTTCTTTCAACATAATTTCAAGCAGTAATTTATGTTAACAATAGTTTTTTTGTTCAAAAGATCTTCATTGAGATGTTTCGGATTTCGGAATAACTTTCCGCGTTTTAAAAAAGCAGCGTTTCCGAAAAATGCACGAGACGAATTATAAATGAGAGTTATAAGCATCATCTTGCAAGATGGAAATTATCTTGAAAGATAACGATGCTTGAATATCTTCATTCAAAGTTATTTTGGGCACCGAAAAAACACTATGGATATTTTTTTACGTTTTTGTGACTTTGTGACTAAGGTCACAAAGGCATGGGTTTAATTGGAGAGGGTGATCGGGTTGACCATGATGCAAAAATTTCCCCATACATGCAAACTTTTCGTCTTTCGTAATGTAAAGAAACTTCAAACTATTGCTATATTGTCGTAGTCTGAAATCTTGCTAATTTTTTTTTCAACTCATCGCAATAATTTCATCAATTTTACATAATTGGCTCTTAAAAATTGTTTTGTGGTCATTGAATTCATAATTTTGATAAACAGTGTCAAAAACCTCGAGTTATTTTGTATGCTTTGTTATTTAGATACGCTAAGAAAGCCAAACATTTTTTATGTACTATTTGACCTAAAAATGACATTGAACTTGTTCAATCTATGCTTTTTTCTTAAATATTTTTTTTTAATTCGGCTTTCGGAACGAAAGTAATGGAATATTTGCGCTCGGGATGGTTTTTTTTTCTTCAAGCAAATTTTGACTTTTCAACTAGCCTTTTTTGACAAAATATTTTATATCATTTCTAAGGTATTGTTGTCCTGAGCTTATATTTGAAAAGATGTTTCACTTGTGATCATTTTTTGTGAAGTTATGGGGGTTTAAAAATAGCCATTTTGGCCAATTTGGGAAAATTAACGCGCGACATATTTCGCGCTAAAAACGCGTGAGCGGACATTTAAATCGTCTTAGAATTCGTTCCAAATTGATTGAAAGAAGCTTATTTGGCCAATTGAATCCTGCAAGATATTCACAAAACAACTTTTAAAAAGGATATCTTGCTTAAGGGTACCTAGGAAGATAGTTTTCGCTTGAACCCTGCAAAATCTTCAAAAAAATGCAGCATCTTAACAAACAATGCAGCATCTTTTTGCAAAGTCAATGCAAGATCTTGCAAAACAATGCTCCCTAGTTGAATAGTTTCCGCTCCTTGGTACTAATTTACGATAAATATTTTTGGCCGACCGAGCTTCGTTTTTTCTAACAGCCAATATAAACTATATTAGGTAGCGGATCTCAAACTGATATTCATCTAAGGAATATTGACACAAATTATATACAGCGTTTTATGAGAGCTCGAGCGATCAGTTTCACATATTTTTTAAATAATTTCTTATTATGAAAAACATACTTGTATTAAATTTTTTGAAATCCTTTTTTCCCTGAAAAACTCGGGGCAGGTTTAAAAACAAGTGCAGGGTAATTGAGATCAACTTTAACCATAAAAAATTGAATTTATCATTAAGGGTTATTGTGTTATTAACACAGATGTTGTACACTAGCCCCGATCAATAGCAAAAATGTCAAATGCTTAACCATTGATTTCTGTAAGGGTTAGAATAGGTAAAGAAGAGGGGTAGTTTAAGATATCTCTAAATAGATAGAAATTTTGTTATGATAAACTTTTCTTAGTGATATCAGATTATTCAATCAGAATGAAAAACCTCAAACGGGCAGACATATCAGAAAATTTGGTTTGTAGCTTCGATTGAAAATTTATCATTCATCACTGCCAAAACTTTAGCAAAAATGTCAAAATTTGTTAAAATATAGGATTTTGAAACTGTAGAAATGAGAGTAAAATACTCTAATTTCGACTTCCAACAGTTTGTTCGAATTAGGCTAGTAAAAAAATTTAAAAACACGATTTAATTTGATGAGACTTTTATTTTCAATCATTCAGATTTCGGTGAAAGTGTCTGTAAAACTACGTTTTAAAAAAATTACGATCCAGAAATTGCGACTGGAGACAGACTCTTTTAGAAAACATTGACTACTTTTTAGCTGCTGTAATGCCCTGAACACATTTAATTTAATATAATATTAATATGGTTTTTCACAGTATGAGTATTTAGGGGTGGGGAAAGATACAATCCACCTCTAATGGATCTAATAACTATCACTAAAAATATCTCTAATTGTGGTTTGCAGCCGTGTTTTAGTAATATCCATGTTGTCTGGGAATCTTAGACCCAGCTATGTTAATTTTGTTTGTAAATAGTTTGACTGCTGATAGCCTAAAATTGGTAAAATGAGAGTTAGCTCTTAAACAGACCAGAAAATCAACTGACTAGGTCGAGACGGTTAAAAATGAGAAGAATCAAAGTAACTGACGTTGATTTAAAAAAATCGTCCTTTTTCCAGTTATTAGAGCTTTTATAGGGGTAGATATTATTTACTGTGTACAATAAGTGACCTATATAATATCAAATTATTTTCGTAAGCTTTTGATCTCTAGAATTGCCACAAAAAATACTCAAAAAATTTATTGTTTGTTTTCAGTATTAATTTTTTTTAAAATAATTTTGTTGCTTAAGATTGTTCAAAGAATGAATCTTACGAAAGTATACCACTTGGCCATATTCAGCTTGAAGTTTGCGTTTGGTGCTCGGATTTGTCAAATTTTTATAAAATACGTCATCTATGATTCTATTGAAAATTAAATGAGATGAGAAAACTATATGATAATAAACTCGCGAATTGCTGACATCCTAATTTTAAAACTTGGGCAGACCACAAAATATTTTTACACCATTGTGAGTTTTAAAAATTAAAATCTACTTTTCGTTTAACTAACCGTATTTTTTGCACAATTTGCAGTAGTGATTAAATATTGCAAATTACAATGACTTTGCGGTTCAGAATCACTAACTGATGACAGTTTTAAAATTGAATTTTTTGTGGGATATTGTACTACTTGAAAGGTACCGATGTTTTGCGATTTTGATTTTATTCACTGGTGACCATTGTTGTGGCGCTTGAATAGCCATTTTTGTCAGTACGGGACAATCGATATATTCCCTCTTCATAATTAATACGGCTCAAAAGTTGTTCCAATTTGAGTTTCCCGGTAGCGGTAAGCGAAGTTCTAACTATTAAGTAACAATAATTGAAACTATCTCATTCTTCTTTAAATAGCGTTAAGGACGATTTTTCCCTTCATCATTTTTTGAAGTTTCGAGTCATTCCATAGTCATTAAAGGGTAGTCGGAAATTTCATGGCTCAGCCCTTCTGTTCTAGGAAGCCAATATTTGAAGCGAACTTAATCAGATTTCGCTGACAAGTTTAATATAGAATATACTCGTTTTAGCATTAATAGCATTTGTCTTTTAAAATTTTTGGCATTTTTAGCATATAGTCGTTTTAGCATATAGTCGTTTTAGCATTCGTCAAGATTTTGGGTTCTCTTGTCATCAATTGGGTTTTTGCGCAGCATAGTTCGCAAGTTAATGGACAGTGAGGGTGGCACCGTTGTCCCTAACGCAGTCAAAAGGATGCACAATTTTATGTTTTTTTTTCTTGTGTTTCATTCAGTTTCTTACTTTTCCCGCTTTTCAATGACAATGAAAATGGCGCCATATCAGGTCGGAAAAGTGATATGAGGACTAGTATGTACGGATTTTGGGATTTGGACTGATGTGGAAGCCAACTCGAGGTGCTGATTTAAGCAAATAAACCCACAACAAATATATCAAAGCGGAGCTTCGCGTCACTTGCGATATAACACAAACTACAAAAAAAACGTATTTAAATAATTGAAAAAAGCTGAACAAAAACTACGTGAACCAAAACTTTCGTGTGTCTTGATAAAAGACAACCAGAAGACAGTTAAAGCTGGAGGAACGGCGAAATGATTGATTTTGAAAATCAGACTTTGCCGAAAACCTTAGTTGTTTCTTTTCTAAAACAAATAAGAAAAGTAAAAACTTTTGAGTTATTAGATTTTTCCCAAAAAAAAATGTGTCCAAAAATTGAGGAATCACGGCTTCTATAGGAACAATTCTTGCAATCGTTTTTTTTCGATTGAATTTTCATCTCAAAATTGTTAGATTAGTTTTTCAGATAACTCAAAAATTTTCCAAAAAGCGGTCAAATATTCTAAAGTTGACTTTCCGAAATTTGAAGAAAACAGGTCGCGGCAGCTGAAAAAGAGATATTTGCAAGACCGGGCTTCTCAATTGAACACTTAACCTGCAAATCGACCGGGTAGTTCTTGAGTCAAGTCAAAAATTTTTTAAAAAACAGTCAAATTTTCAAAACTTTGACTTGTTGGAAAGCAATAACTTTTTTTCTAAAAACTTTGGCTCAGCCAATCATAACAAAAGGCTTCTAACAACCTATTGTTTTCGAAAACATTCAAAAAAATAGGAAAAAGAGTCAAAAAATTAAAAATTTACTATCCGAAGGCCATAATTTTATGTTCAAATAAATTGGGCGCAAAACGGCTTATGCCCGGCAGTTTTTCAAATCCGTTCTGCTCATTGAAATTAAAACCTCTGCGTCAAGTATTCTTCCTGCAGAGTTTTTGAAGGCTGTTGACAGAGGGTGAAAATACAAAGAGACTGACTGTGCAGGCACACAGGGAAGCTGATTGTTTTTCCGTTGATGCCTTTTTTTGAAAATCTACAAAAAATTTAAGCAAAAAGTGAAAAAAACTTCAAAGCGTCTCAAATTTTACCAGCACTCTAGGCAAGCATACTAAGCATGAACTCAAAGCAAGCATGCCAAACAAAATTTTAATTAGAAACGGAAAAATTTTACAAGCCAACGATTTTTGAGCAGACACCAATTAAGCCAAAAAAAATTGATTTTACGAAAAAGTTTTTTAGAAAACTTTAAATTCCATCGAAACCTACAGAGAAAAACATTCGAAACTACCATGATATTTGCTAAAAGTCAGGGGCGGATTTAGGGGGGGGGAGGGCGGACGCTTGCCTCCCCCCCCCCCCCCCCCCCCCTCAGGGATTCTAACCCCTGCCAACCCAAAGGGTCCCCCCTTTGGTACTTTTTAAGAAATCCATTTAAGGCCAACCGACCCTAAAATTTTTCTAACGGCTAATTTTGAGGGGGAGCGCGCGCCAAAAAAAACGTGTTTTTTTGTCAAAATTTTCCAAAAAGTGCCCAAAAACGGCTTTTTTGACGTGCTTTTTCAAAAATTGCCTGCGGCGCAGAAAATGTGGCCAAAACAGGGTCTTTTTACTGATTTGGAAGCTCGGAAAATCAATCTCATCGACCTAAAAAAAAAGGTCAGCAAAATTTTTTGAAAATTTTTTGAAAATCCGCCCCCCCCCCCCTCGAGAAAATCCTAGATCCGCCCATGCTAAAAGCACAAGAAAAGTTCGTGCTATGGCAACTAAGCCACAGAACTTGAGGAGATAAACGAAAATCCGGCACATCAATTTTAACCGGAAATAAGTTTCAATTGCATACATACTGAGAAAAAAACAAGGTCCGGCCGGTATTCAAAGCCCAGACATTAGGGTGCAAAAGCGACGGGGTTATCTATAGTCCAAAATTGAAGGAATCTGGAAGTTGCTAAGATTCAATAATAAAACAAATCGAAAAATTGTAAGAAGTGTTGTTCACGTGAAAAAATTGCAAAAAACTTGCATCCCAAGTCTAATGAAATAAATATCACTACATCTATTAACGTTTTATTTGAAAATTAGACTTAACGCCATCACAATCTCGACATATCGACTGTCTGTATAAAATACATTGATCAAGAACTCTAAAAAGAACTCTAGGAACACCGGAGTTTTCAAATCCGTTCTGTTAATTGAAACTGAAATCTCTGGGTCAAGTATTCTCCTCAGAGAGTTTTGAAGGCTGTAGACAAAGAGTTAAAAAACAAAGAAACTAACTTTTTTGAAATCTACAAAATGTTTAGCAAAAAGTGAAAAAAAAGAGTTCCAGAGCGTCTCAATATTTAAAAAAAAAACACATTGCAAGCATGGATACCAAGCATGCATTCAAGGCAAGCATGCCAAACAAGATTTTAATTCGAAACGGAAAATTTTTACAAGCCAACGATTTTTGAGCAGACACCAATTAAGTCAAAAAAATTATTTTACGAAAAAAAACTTAAGAAAATTTCATATTCCCCGGAACCTACAGAAAAAAAAACATTTGAAACTACCATGATACTTACTTGCAGCGCAAGAAAATCTGTGTTATGACAACTAAGCCGACAAAACTTGAGGAGCTAAACGAAAGTCCAGAAAATCAATTTTAACCGGAAAAAAATTTCAATTGCATACATACTGAAAAAAAAACAAGGTTCGGCCGGTATTCAAAGCCCAATCATTAGGATGGAAAAGCGACGGTGTTATCTATCAGCCAAAAGTGAAGGAATTTGGAAATTGCTAAGATTCAAAAAAAAGCAAATTGAAAATTTGTAAGAAATGTTGTTTGAGAAAAAAATTGCAAGACAATTGCTTTCGCAAGTCCAATGAAATAAATATCACTGCATCTATTAACGTTTTATTGGAAAAGGAGACTTAACGCTAACACAATCTCGACATATCGACTGTCTGTATAAAATACCGTGATCAAGAATTCTAAACTGTTAGTTTTCTTTTGCATTACGCAATATTTTGAATAGAACTGAGAAGGTATTATATAGCACTAAATGTTCACAGAGGTGGTATGCCCATTATGATTGCAAGTCATCATTTTTTCTTCTTCCCCTAAACAGAATCAAGGGTTATAACGTCCGAAAGTCAACCAACGAAGCATGAAGCTTCGCACTCGCGCAATTTCACCCAAAGACAATTTTTGCATGTGTCATTTACGTTAAGGATAAATTTGGGTGTCAAAAAATTTCCATTTCCAATCTTTTTTTTCATATTTTTTTCTTATATGACCATTTTTTAAAGACAAAAAGAGTATCAAATTAGGTTGTGGTTTGGCTCTGAAGTTTCAATTTATGTCTCTCAACTCACCAAGTCCATCTTCGTCTTATTTATTAAGTTCCAATTATTTTCAGATTTCATCTTGCAATACAAAAACTTCGACAAAAAATTAATCGTATTACCTTGGTACTCTGTTTACGAGAAGAGTATGTTTTTGCTCTTTCACACATGTTTTTCACGACAAGGCATGAATGAAAAATGAAATATTAGAACGCATGATCGAAAAAAGAAATCATTTGCATAGTTTCGCGCACTTTTCCGGGCTCTTTCACAATTTTCCGGCATCTTTTCCTCAGGGCTCTTTTTCCCTCGGACATCTTTCAACTATGTTCTTACTACTACAAAGGAACTTGCCTTTTTCTTGCCCTTGCCCGACCCCTTTTTGCCCTTCTTGGTGGGTCCCCCTCCCGATATCTTGTAGATCGCCTCAAAGATATCCTTATCCACCCGACAAGTCATGTCGAACTTCAACTTGGTCATTTTTTCTAAAGTAGGATTTCATATCAAATATTAGAAACACTAAAACATTAATTCTCTAACTTTTCTCACTCGGCAAAAAGAAACCAAAATCCATCTTTATAAAGCACTTATTTCTTGGTTAGGCATATGCTATTTTGTGCCAAGCTATAAATTCCCCCATCTGCATATGTGAGGAATTAGTTAAAAAAGATGATTAACAAGATCGGTAGAATAAAGCCTACTAAATTTTGTAGTTTAATTTTGAATAATCAAGTTTATTGAATCAGCTGAAATCTTTGTAAGACATTTGGAAGCAAAAAAACTTTTAGTTGACCTTCTTTGCGGAACTCGAATGCTTCTTGGAGTATTTTGGCAGCTGAGTTTCCGATCTCGTTGAAGTTCAGGTCAAGTTCACTCAGCGCTTCAGTTCCTCTGATTAACCTGAAATGGTCAATAAATTTGCTTTTCGGTCGAATTTGTTATCAATGAATAGAAGACTTATTATATATTTTGATCATATATTCTTAGGTAGATTCTGCGAAGCTCTCATGTTCAGGTTACAGCACTTTTTATTCGAAGCTGTTCGAAGTACTCTTAAAAGCAAATTGCTGGCACTATAAGTTACCCAAGGTCCACAGAAGGATACAATTACATTTCCGATTACTTTCGGAAGCTGGTAAATAGGAATAAGGAGGGGCATATCTAGAACTATCTCGAGAAATAAAATCGATTTATCTATAATCATTTTTCGAAGGATAATTGATTCTGTACAGATAGAATCCATTTTTTTCCACCGAAAATAAATGGATTTTTGTGCCAAAATAATCAATTTTTCTCTTGTGTAAAACCTGTATATAATCTGTAGATAATCTGCATATAGTCAGTATATAATCCTTATACAATAAAACCTGTAGATAATCTGTAGATATTATGTAGATAATCTGTTGATAATCCGTACGTAGTTTGTATAAAATCTGTTTCAAATTGATTATAATGCCTAAAAACTATAGGTGGTCGTAACAATTTCAATTTCGACCATTCTTCAAATTCAAAATTTTCCTCAGTTTTATAGTCAGCTGAACTCACCTTAGGAAAACTGGCTACCGAAAACTACAAGTTTCAAGAGATCCCTCTAAGATTTTACAATCTAAGGGTTTCCGCGGTAAGAAAAGTAAAAATTTGTGCAAAATTTCTTCAAATGCCATTTAAAAGATCAACCTAATCATCGCAATTTTGTCAGAAAAACACCAATAAAAAATAGAAAAAAAAACATTGAGCATTTTTTGCTGCATTTTATTTACACAATAAGAAACTTATTTTTTTTTCAGATCAAACATCAGTACAAAAATTTTATTAAAAAGCCTACTTTACAATTTTATTTCATTATACTCCTTCTATCTGATTGGCGAGAATAAACATAATCTGTGGATAATGTGTATATAATCTGTTTATAGTACAGTTTATAGTATAAACTTGATACAGAAAAAAAAACAGTTTTAGAGTGTTTTGCAATGATTATATATTGAAGATATACAGTATAAAACTTCTGCAAAACAAAACGCATTATAATCGATTATTAAAACAACATAATCGAAGTATTATTATATAAAAATACAACAGAAGTGAAATCTGTATATTTTCAATAGATAATCGATTTCTATTCATCTGTGTCCTTGCGGGCTCCACCACTACTAAATCAGCTTTTGGGTATAACCTCAGTTGGTAAATTTTTCCCCGATTATTTGGAAGCCGAAGTCTTATTTCTTGTTTCTAATTAAAATCAAGCTTTTCACAAGTGTTCTCTAATTTTTCACTCGGCCGTGCTGTGGAAATGAACTTAAAGCTTGGATGTTTCTTTTTCACGCAAAACCAAGTATCACACAGACAGGATGCGCGAAGTCAAGTGAAATAGTAGATTCGAGTGTTCTCAGTGTAATTTCATATTGTATTTGAAACTTTTGAGCAAATTATCTTGGTGTCGAGAAATATTGTTTTTTTTTTCAAAATAAGTTTTGCGTTTCAAACTTTTTTGACATTAAATTGACATGTTATTCAATTCAATGCAGCTAAAGAGACTAAACTATCCGACATATTTCTAAGTTTATACGTAATAGTCGTGCAAAATTATTTGCAACCACTGGAAAAAAAACACCCAAAAAATATACAAAAACAAAAAATATATATTTTTCATTGTTTGGCAAATCTAACGTAACAAGAAGTTTCTCTACGACTTGCTTAGCTTTTTTGTAATTTATGAAAAGCTAGATACCTGGCCAGACTGGCAGCAACTGAGAACAAATCGACCTCGTCAGTGACAGAAGTGGAATCTATTCCATTGTCGGCCAAGTGCAGCTTCGACAGAAAGGGACCAGGCGTCTCTGGAATGAGAGCAGCCTTGCTTTTCTTCTTACCTGCAACAGGAAACAAGCTGCAAAAATGTATCTTTACACTTCTTTACAATAATGATTAATCACCAAAAAATCATTATTTAAAAACAAATGGATGCATAGTTAAATCACCAATCAGTTTTTTTTCTCGATAAAGTCAAGATATTTTTTCACTATACTAACAAAACGCGAGTGGCAGTTCGGTTAATTTGCTAGAAATTTTTTATAAGTTTAAGCACATACCCTTTCCTTTGCCCTTCTTCTTGCCTTTGGTTCCCTTTTTGCCCGATTTTGATTCTTCTTTCGTCTCTTCGCCCGTCAATTGCTCGGCCTGCAAACCTTAAAATATGCTGTGGTCAAATTGTTGTTCAACTCATTTCGTAAATATCCGCTGAGTTAAATGACTATTGTGGGTTTCAAATTCAAAGGAAATTTTCTAATATGTTTTGCGAGCCGCAAACAAATGCTCACGTTTTTTTTTTAAATTAATGGATACTAACTAGCATGGCACAAAGGTTACTGAATCGATCTAAAATCCAACAATATCTGCACAAATTACTAGCATGCTGATGAATTGTTTATATCTATCTACACAATTTTTCAGTCTACCAGTCGGTTGCTTAAAGCCGGAAGTCGATTCTTTCAGATTAACTAAGCGAAGACAATCTTGCAGGAGCTCACTTCAAAAAATTGCTACTTAAGCCCGCAATCATATGATTTCTGGGCAGCATAACTAGATGAGTGACTGACATACATGCATCTAACATACCGCCTGAGAATGAGGGAGTGGGGGAGGGGAACTTGGAGGGGGAGGGGGAGAGAGATTGGGAACTCTTCCTGAAGTAGGACTCCATGAAATGACCGAAGTCATTCTTCAGCAGCTCTGTATACAAAGTCATGAAAAGTAAAAAAAATAGAATATAGTTCTAACCAGCGAAAGTCCTCCTGTTAATTGGGCTAAAAAAACTTACTAGCAACCCCCTAGTTGTTAAGATTGTAACCCTCCTATTGGTTCAACAGTTTAACATATGCGAACATAAAACCTTAGTAACTTAGAGCCCCATTTGGCTTTCCCTCCAAAAAATCTCAAAAGTCGCTCGGAATTCAATTTTTTAAACATGATAAATTTGATCAAATGACCATTTAGACAATTGAAAAAAAAACGTCCATTTTTTAGAAAAAAAAGCAGCTTTTGTTTTTTTCGCAAGTTTCAAGTCGATTGAATGAGCTGAAAATTTACTACATGGATTTTGTCTTTTCTAAAAGTTACTAAATTAGAGTTTAATTACGTTCTTCGTTGACTTTTGCTTCCTTTTCAGCCATCAGTTCGGCTAGTTTTCTCTCTTTCTCCTCCTGCCGATAGAATGCGTCTTCGTCTGCTTGAACGCACAGTGGTTCAACAAGAGACACGAAGCCCTCACAGCCAACGTCATTTCCATCAAGATAAAGTTCGCTGAAAGTTTTTGATAAACTTCATCTAGCCGATAGGCAGTTTTGACCTACAGCTTAAAGGAAGCAGCAAAAAATGTTGCTTGTATTTCAAAAATCAGGCTCCCAAAAAGTGAACTAGCTCAAATTTTAGTTGCCAAATGCTGAAAATGTTTTCATATTTCTACCACCCTGAACAAACTTGCCATTAAAATGCGGAATACAGCATAGTAACCGCATAGTTCATTTTCATTTGCAAAAATATCTGAATATCACAGAAAACCCGTAGAAATTTGGTAATTCCAGCAAATCAAAGAAAATTTGTTTACAACAGCTCCAAATTTTGAAAGTTTAAGAGGCAAAAATAACGAGGCGACAATTCGTCGAAAGCGACAACTGGTAGTATTGAAGACGCCAACAAAACTCTGCTAAGTCTTAAAAAATCTTTGCGAAAAATTTTTCTCAAATTTGGATTTCGAATAAAAGCAACTAGCTTTTCCGTCCCTGTCCCAACTTGCACGAGCATCAATACTATGATATAAAAATGTTCTAGGGGGTAAATTATGGAGACAAATTATGATAGCGATGACCTAATTAGTCTGCATGCCGGTTTTCATAAACAATCGGATAAAGTGAACAAAAACTTTAGGAGTAAAATATCGTAGGTAGTAAAGAAAGGGAACGCCAAAAAAACTGACACAATCGGATAAAGTGAACAAAACAAAAATTTTGCTAGTAAAATATCGTAGGTAGTAAAGAAAGGGAACGCCAAAAAATCAATTAAGAAAAAAAACTCCAATTAAAAATGAAACCAAAATCATGATAATCATAACGGAAAATGCAAGTTCCGGAATTGCTCCTCTACGTTCGTTCTCTCTCTCACCGTCTCTGAACGACACCGCAAAGTGGTTCCCTGATTAGTGAATTCAGCGGGGCGATCGAGATTTAATACTATCAAAAGGGTTTACCGAAAGGGTTTACTGAAAGGGTTAAAATGGTGGCAACTGTTCTGTACTGTATTAGGTTACTTGCGTTATTTTTATTGCTCTTAAGGCTGTCTTGTCCGCTCGAGACGATCGAAAATTTTCCAGTGGTGATTAAATTTGGACAATGTGGGTCCAAATACAGGAGGCTCTAAGTGGCCGGAATAATATCTAAAAATCTAATCAAAAGAAAAGGGTCCGCGATCAAACAACACAGTTCCCTAAAGGCAAATTAGTTTCACCTAATCACTAAACGATTCTCTCCCTCTCCAGAGAATCCTAATTAACGAATTACACAAAGTAATTCTAAGTAAAGACTCAGTTTGACCTGCAAAAACTAATAGTGTCTATACGGATCACTATTCTTTTGAGGTACTGCAACTGATTTTTCTAACTACACAAACCACTCTTCTCAACTCTGATGAGAGCGAACTATTCTATTCAGTAGCTAATTATGCTCTCAAAATAAAAATGAGAGTCCATCTACTCTCACTAAGAGCTTATTTTATTCTGCCTAAGGGTAGACTACCCGCAACCTTTTTGCTATGTCTGTCTATTTGAGTTGTAGATATAGTTAGAGTTATGATCGTCCCTACAAGTCTTGACATGTACTTTGGACACTTTTTCGTTTTCGCAAAATCTTAACTGAACCCTTCTTCTGAAGACACTAGTCATGAATTTCAAGTTCATTATCGGTATATCTAACTAAGTTGTGCAAATATCAAGTCCAATTTCACCTCTAAACCAAGCTATGTTTAATTAACCAATCTCCCAAGGTTCTCATTTAATTAGCCTATAACCTTCCAACCTCCCGAAGGCAGGGGGAGACCCTTTTTTGTGGGTAGCGTATTCATTCTAAGTATCCCAAATTCCAATGCTTTATTCTAAACCCGACCTTCTAGCTATCAGGGTAGAGGAATTCAAAAAAGCTATCTAGAAATTGAACCAAGAAGCTATCTACAGGGAGCTAAATAAGTATCCCGTTTATTCATATTATTTAGGATATCTACTTCCCATGTCATGATCGTTTTACTGCCAATTTCTTCTGAGACTACTGTTCTTTAGTCTGATTGATAATCTATAAATAGCGCATTCTGCAAGTTTAGTTGGACTCAATGTTTTCCAAGTCCATTCTTATTAATTAACTACTTTAATGTTAAAATGTAAAATCTATATCCTTTTCAGCTGATGCTTCAGTTCCCAATAGATAAATTTTGTCTCAAATATTAGTAAGGTGACCAATTCTCATTCCCAAATTGTTGGGGCTGGGTAACACGCCACTTTCTGGTGTCAATCTCGGGATTTTCTAGATACTTTTGATCCCAAATGCCCAAAGATCAATTAACAGTCTCCCCAAAGTCACCCAAGGTCAACCTTCTAAATTTGGGTTCAAAACTTTTTTGTGGTATTTCATATCATTTTTCATCCTGATCCCATTAATACTTCCCAAGTTATCCCATTTCTAAGGTCCTTAATCACTTTTCCCAGAAGAAGTCAATTAAAACCGGGAGGAGTCGCCGGAGGGGTTTAATAATAAGGCGTTTTTTTGGGTTACGTTCCAGTGGCTATTGCTGCCATAAAACCAATATAACCTCGCTCATTATTTTGCGCAAATTGCCCAATTCTGGTCTGAAGGTTGTTTTTCCAAAGTGCTGATATTTTCCAGTCCAATCGTCAGATTTGTTTCAAATTATAAAACATGATGTTCCTTGTCGTTACATACTGTATGCCAAAGTCTTAGCTCCCTGCGTTAAGTGGTTGGGCTGAGAAACGACTTCCGGGAGTCCGGGATGGAGGACTATTTACTTGGGCATTTGTCAGCGCTATTTATCTGAAAGTTTTCATCTCCAGGTCTTCTAAGGTTGCATGTTCAGGTTACAGCACTTTTTATTCGGTGCTGTTCGAAGTACTCTTAAAAGCAACTTGCTGGCACTACAAGTTACGCAAGGTCCACAGAGGGATACAATTACATTTCCGATCACTTTCGAAAGCTGTAAGTAGGAATAACGAGGGGCATATCTAGATCTTTCTCGAGAGGGGGATTTTAAATTAGTACATATTGGCGCCAAAGTTGTCTTTAATCAAAACCAACAAGAGGATCTCTTGTAGAACCCTTGGGGGTCGAATCTTGGAGGAGGGGATGGGTCCTTCCACCACTAAATCCGCTTTTGGGTTTAACTTCAGTTGGTTAATTTTTGCCCGATTATATGGAAGCCGAAGTCTTATTTGTTGTTTCTAAAAAAAATCAAATTTGTTACAAATGTTCTCAAATTTTTTACTCGGCCGAGCTGTAGAAACGAACTGAGTGTTTGGATGTTTCTTTTCACGCAAAACCAAGTATCACACAGACAGGATGCGCGAAGTCAAGTGAAAAGGTAGATTGGAGTGTTCTCAGTGTAACTTAATTTTCTATTTGAAAATTTTGAGCAAATTATCTTGATGTCGAGAAAAATTGTCTTATGATTTTTGCGTTTCAGATTTTTTGAAATTAAGTTGACATGTCATTGAATTCAATGCAACAAAAAAGACTAAACTAAACGATATGTTTCTAAGTTTATATGTAATAGTTGTGCAAAATTATTTGCAACCACTGGAAAAAAAATCACCCAAAAAATATACAAAAACAAAAAATACATATTTTTTATTGTTTGGCAAATCTAACGTAACAAGAAGTTTCTCTACGACTTGCTTAGCTTTTTTGTAATTTATGAAAAGCTAGATACCTGGCCAGACTGGCGGCAACTGAGAATAAATCCACCTCGTCAGTGACAGAAGTGGAATCTATTCCATTGTCGGCCAAGTGCAGCTTCGACAGAAAGGGACCAGGCGTCTCTGGAATGAGAGCAGCCTTGCTTTTCTTCTTACCTGCAACAGGAAACAAGCTGCAAAAATGTATCTTTACACTTTTTTACATTAATGATGTTTACATATTCACCAAAAAATCATTATTTAAAAACAAATGGATGCATAATTAAATCACCAATCAGTTTTTTTTTCGATAAAGTCATGATATTTTTTCACTACTAACAAAGCACGAGGGGCAGTTCGGTTAAATTGTTCATCACATACCCTTTCCTTTGCCTTTCTTCTTGCCTTTGGTTCCCTTTTTGCCCGATTTTGATTCTTCTTTCGGCTCTTCGCCCGTCAATTGCTCGGCCTGCAAACCTTAAAATATGCTGTGGTCAAATTGTTGTTCAACTCATTTCGTAATTATCTGCTGAGTTAAATGACTATTGTGGGTTTCAAATTCAAAGGAAATTTTCTAATATGTTTTGCGAGCCGCAAAACAAATGCTCACGTTTTTTTTAAATTAATGGATACTAACTAGCATGGCACAAAGGTTACTGAATCGATCTAAAATCCAACAATATCTGCACAAAATACTAGCATGCTGATGATTTGTTTATATCTATCTACACAATTTTTCAGTTTACCAGTCGGTTGCTTAAAGCCGGAAGTCGATTCTTTCAGATTAACTAAGCGAAGACAATCTTGCAGGAGCTCACTTCAAAAAATTGCGACTTAAGCCCCCAATCATATGACTTCTGGGCAGCATAACTAGATGAGTGACTAACATACATGCATCTAACATACCGCCTGAGAATGAGGGAGTGGGGGAGGGGAACTTGGAGGGGGAGGGGGAGAGAGATTGGGAACTCTTCCTGAAGTAGGACTCCATGAAATGACCAAAGTCATTCTTCAGCAGCTCTGTATACAAAGTCATGAAAAGTTAAAAAAAATAGAATATAGTTCTAACCAGCGAAAGTCCTCCTGTTAATTGGGCTAAAAAAACTTACTAGCAACCCCCTAGTTGTTAAGATTGTAACCCTCCTATTGGTTCAACAGTTTAACATATGCGAACATAAAACCTTAGTAACTTAGAGCCCCATTTGGCTTTCCCTCCAAAAAATCTCAAAAGTCGCTCGGAAATCAATTTTTTAAACATGATAAATTTGATCAAATGACCATTTAGACAATTGAAAAAAAAACGTCCATTTTTTAGAAAAAAAAGCAGCTTTTGTTTTTTTCGCAAGTTTCAAGTCGATTGAATGAGCTGAAAATTTACTACATGGATTTTGTCTTTTCTAAAAGTTACTAAATTAGAGTTTAATTACGTTCTTCGTTGACTTTTGCTTCCTTTTCAGCCATCAGTTCGGCTAGTTTTCTCTCTTTCTCCGCCTGCCGATAGAATGCGTCTTCGTCTGCTTGAACGCACAGTGGTTCAACAAGAGACACGAAGCCCTCACAGCCAACGTCATTTCCATCAAGATAAAGTTCGCTGAAAGTTTTTGATAAACTTCATCTAGCCGATAGGCAGTTTTGACCTACAGCTTAAAGGAAGCAGCAAAAAATGTTGCTTGTATTTCAAAAATCAGGCTCCCAAAAAGTGAACTAGCTCAAATTTTAGTTGCCAAATGCTGAAAATGTTTTCATATTTCTACCACCCTGAACAAACTTGCCATTAAAATGCGGAATACAGCATAGTAACCGCATAGTTCATTTTCATTTGCAAAAATATCTGAATATCACAGAAAACCCGTAGAAATTTGGTAATTCCAGCAAATCAAAGAAAATTTGTTTACAACAGCTCCAAATTTTGAAAGTTTAAGAGGCAAAAATAACGAGGCGACAATTCGTCGAAAGCGACAACTGGTAGTATTGAAGACGCCAACAAAACTCTGCTAAGTCTTAAAAAATCTTTGCGAAAAATTTTTCTCAAATTTGGATTTCGAATAAAAGCAACTAGCTTTTCCGTCCCTGTCCCAACTTGCACGAGCATCAATACTATGATATAAAAATGTTCTAGGGGGTAAATTATGGAGACAAAATATGATAGCGATGACCTAATTAGTCTGCATGCCGGTTTTCATAAACAATCGGATAAAGTGAACAAAAACTTTAGGAGTAAAATATCGTAGGTAGTAAAGAAAGGGAACGCCAAAAAAACTGACACAATCGGATAAAGTGAACAAAACAAAAATTTTGCTAGTAAAATATCGTAGGTAGTAAAGAAAGGGAACGCCAAAAAATCAATTAAGAAAAAAAACTCCAATTAAAAATGAAACCAAAATCATGATAATCATAACGGAAAATGCAAGTTCCGGAATTGCTCCTCTACGTTCGTTCTCTCTCTCACCGTCTCTGAACGACACCGCAAAGTGGTTCCCTGATGAGTGAATTCAGCGGGGCGATCGAGATTTAATACTATCAAAAGGGTTTACCGAAAGGGTTTACTGAAAGGGTTAAAATGGTGGCAACTGTTCTGTACTGTATTAGGTTACTTGCGTTATTTTTATTGCTCTTAAGGCTGTCTTGTCCGCTCGAGACGATCGAAAATTTTCCAGTGGTGATTAAATTTGGACAATGTGGGTCCAAATACAGGAGGCTCTAAGTGGCCGGAATAATATCTAAAAATCTAATCAAAAGAAAAGGGTCCGCGATCAAACAACACAGTTCCCTAAAGGCAAATTAGTTTCACCTAATCACTAAACGATTCTCTCCCTCTCCAGAGAATCCTAATTAACGAATTACACAAAGTAATTCTAAGTAAAGACTCAGTTTGACCTGCAAAAACTAATAGTGTCTATACGGATCACTATTCTTTTGAGGTACTGCAACTGATTTTTCTAACTACACAAACCACTCTTCTCAACTCTGATGAGAGCGAACTATTCTATTCAGTAGCTAATTATGCTCTCAAAATAAAAATGAGAGTCCATCTACTCTCACTAAGAGCTTATTTTATTCTGCCTAAGGGTAGACTACCCGCAACCTTTTTGCTATGTCTGTCTATTTGAGTTGTAGATATAGTTAGAGTTATGATCGTCCCTACAAGTCTTGACATGTACTTTGGACCCTTTTTCGTTTTCGCAAAATCTTAACTGAACCCTTCTTCTGAAGACACTAGTCATGAATTCCAAGTTCATTATCGGTATATCTAACTAAGTTGTGCAAATATCAAGTCCAATTTCACCTCTAAACCAAGCTATGTTTAATTAACCAATCTCCCAAGGTTCTCATTTAATTAGCCTATAACCTTCCAACCTCCCGAAGGCAGGGGGAGACCCTTTTTTGTGGGTAGCGTATTCATTCTAAGTATCCCAAATTCCAATGCTTTATTCTAAACCCGACCTTCTAGCTATCAGGGTAGAGGAATTCAAAAAAGCTATCTAGAAATTGAACCAAGAAGCTATCTACAGGGAGCTAAATAAGTATCCCGTTTATTCATATTATTTAGGATATCTACTTCCCATGTCATGATCGTTTTACTGCCAATTTCTTCTGAGACTACTGTTCTTTAGTCTGATTGATAATCTATAAATAGCGCATTCTGCAAGTTTAGTTGGACTCAATGTTTTCCAAGTCCATTCTTATTAATTAACTACTTTAATGTTAAAATGTAAAATCTATATCCTTTTCAGCTGATGCTTCAGTTCCCAATAGATAAATTTTGTCTCAAATATTAGTAAGGTGACCAATTCTCATTCCCAAATTGTTGGGGCTGGGTAACACGCCACTTTCTGGTGTCAATCTCGGGATTTTCTAGATACTTTTGATCCCAAATGCCCAAAGATCAATTAACAGTCTCCCCAAAGTCACCCAAGGTCAACCTTCTAAATTTGGGTTCAAAACTTTTTTGTGGTATTTCATATCATTTTTCATCCTGATCCCATTAATACTTCCCAAGTTATCCCATTTCTAAGGTCCTTAATCACTTTTCCCAGAAGAAGTCAATTAAAACCGGGAGGAGTCGCCGGAGGGGTTTAATAATAAGGCGTTTTTTTGGGTTACGTTCCAGTGGCTATTGCTGCCATAAAACCAATATAACCTCGCTCATTATTTTGCGCAAATTGCCCAATTCTGGTCTGAAGGTTGTTTTTCCAAAGTGCTGATATTTTCCAGTCCAATCGTCAGATTTGTTTCAAATTATAAAACATGATGTTCCTTGTCGTTACATACTGTATGCCAAAGTCTTAGCTCCCTGCGTTAAGTGGTTGGGCTGAGAAACGACTTCCGGGAGTCCGGGATGGAGGACTATTTACTTGGGCATTTGTCAGCGCTATTTATCTGAAAGTTTTCATCTCCAGGTCTTCTAAGGTTGCATGTGTTTCTTAATAGAGCCATTAAGATGATCTGCCTTATAAATTTGAGATTCCTTTCACTGTGTTGGTGGAGGAGGCGAAAGTTTTTTTTTTTTAATTTCCAATGTTATTACATGGGCAACAGGTAGTTTTTTTTTCAGATATCCGGGAAGTTGACATCTCCTACTGAGCCGACTTCCTACACGCTCGCGATTGGAGTTCTGGAGGATGATGACTTCAAAATTTTTCAGATTCGACCTCTGGGTTGCCAGTGGGCGGCGTTCAATTCCTCATAGCCTATCTTAATAGATGGGGGTTTGGTGAGTTTTCTGAGATTTGTTGAGAATTTGTTGCCTCTTAGTGGACCAATTTTTGCATGAACTTTTTAGTGCTAGGTAGGGGAATGTGAGGGTTGAGGATGTTGCTACACGTCTGAAAAGATTTTTTTTGAAAAGTATCGATAATGACCTGAAAACCTGAACTTGTCTAAGTTTTGATTGTCCCGATTTGTTCACCTTAGGCTGATAGTCACTCTACCGGGCCAATAAATTATCGTAGCGTACAGTTCTAAACCTCCATAAAACCAAGGTAATGCTGTCTAAGACGAACTTGCATTTTAGCTTGATAGGATTCATATCATGTACCTGATTCTTATTCCCAGTGATATGAAACCAGATTTAAGAACTTTGATTAGTCATGTTTATCCCCCACATCAAGTAGATTTCGAGAATATGGATGAAGTTTTGCCCACTTATGTCTTGTTTAGCATAAATAACGCACGATATAATTCCAATTGCTGCGACTGTAATGACAGTATACGTTTTTTTTTGTAAAAGTATAAGATCATGGCTTACATGATGTTGGTGGTGGAAATGATTTTTCCGAGTGGTTCTGCACAGAGGTGGGTCAGCCCACAATAGTTGAGACTCAACTTCTTCATCAGTTTGTTGCCCACTAAAGAACGGCACAAAGCAATCACTCCGTCATCTTCTATCCTGAAGCATACTTGAAAATGCAACTTTTAGGTTTTTTGATGATTTAGAATGTTTGCATGTAAAAACTTTGGAAAACAGTTCCTCTAAACGAAGAATCAAAATAACCAAGAAAGGAGCATATTATCTATTTATGCAGCTAATTGAGTCAAACATTGACCCCGGTACAAAATTCTTAACTTTATTGATACAGAGCACACAAAAGCATTTGGCATAACGGAAAGTCGATCAATTTGAAACCCTCATTTTGAAAACGACTTTCAAAGCGTCATTTGAGGGACTTAATACCCTCCGATGACAGACACAGTGGTTGTACACCACATGATACTACATGAAATTCCGAGATGCGAATACGTTTATTCCTGACTCAAACTTGCTTTGATCTGTCTGCTGGTCTGCTATCTTTTCTGTGGCTGTTCTATCCTTTTCCCAAAATTAACTATTCAATTAACTCAATTTTTTCATTTTTCTGAGCAAAAACCTTTTCTGAGCTCCTGAGTCTTAAAATTTTGCTCGAAAAAATAATTGTCTAAGCATTGTATAAGTATTTTTGGGGAAAAAGTTTAAAAAAGTCATAGCAAAGATAGCAGATTTAGACTTATTTTCTCTATGAGATCTATAAATTCCGCATTGCTATATATAATAATTCCAGCTCTAGTTTTTAATTGTTCATTTTCCATTCGCAAGTTCAGTAATAAACAAAATTGCGGAATCTTGTTTCAGTTTGCGGAGTCCACTTAGATTTGCGGATTCCGCTGACAAATTTTGCGGATTCTAATTACAATTGCGGATTCCACTTACATTTGCGATATTCAAAACAACTAGCTATATTCTAATGATGCGGAATCCGCAAAAAAAAAGTACCGACGAAGCTTACGTTACAAGTAATAGTCCGCGGAATCCACGGAAATTTTGTAAGTGGAATCCACTTATATTTTAGAACATCTTTAAAAATTTGTCTCTGGAATCTAGGAACATACAGACACAAAATTGTGCGCCTATCCAATGCACAGTTTTCCCTCGCAATGAGGATCATTTCAATCTGAGGTTAATACCTTAGGCTGCTATTTCGAATCGACAGACTCTATGACTAAGCCCGTCATTCACTCTCCTTTGCTATTTATTGATGAAAAAACATAACGTTTTTTTCTAATGTGACAATTTTCCAGTAATCTTAGAGAAAAATGAAAATAAAAAGACCGTTGAACCGGAACCGCAGAAAAAAGTTCAAAAAAAGAAAAAGTTGAGGAAATATATGGGCATTTGTGCTGATTTCGAGAAATCTCTTCGAGATGCAATTATAAGCAAACTTCACGGAACTTTTTTTTCTGGTTCAAAATATGCTATGGCAGTTTAACAAGAACCCAAAAAGCTTAGTGATGACAAAATTTTGCAAACAAATGCGACGCCTGGGCATTTTTTGCAAGTAACTTTTTGCTGAGAGTGCTGACATGTTCTCATATATAAATTATAATATACCAAAACTGCTATTTTATGCAAAATTTGCAATTATCCAATTTCAAAGAAAGAATTGAAATACTTGTCTTAAAATGCTTTTTTTTCCAGTGATGACATTTTTCTCTCTTTGGTATCAAATGGAAGCAATAAAAGCGATACGCTTTAAATAAGAAAAAAAATTAACCTTAGACTATTTGTTTTCGATACTATGGGGTGTTTTTCAAAAATTCAAATATGACCAGTCTTAGGTTATTAACGCGCAATGTTTTTCGTCTGATCGAAGCAATATCCGCAAATTGAGTTGGTCGGTGATCGAAATAGGAAACTCTGAGTTCCCAAGAGAGCGTTCCGCGGGCACCAAAGTCTCCCTTTTAAAAATGCATTACCTTTGAATTTCGTCGCAAAATTTGCTGTCTAGATGATCAATAGTTTAGATTACGCAATGGGAATTTAATTCATTATAACCGATTTTCTTTTTAAAAACCCAGTTTTCTCTTTATAACTCATCTTAATTAATTTTTATTTTCATTATAATCAAAAATTTGTTGTTCATAATTTCCATGAAAATCGATTGTTTTATGTAGACATGTAATGTTTATCTTTTTGGAAGTTTACGCAAACCCTGAACTCAAAAATCCCATGTTTAACTCAAAAAAGCTTATGAACAAAAAAATTCTCATAAACGTTTTTTAAAAATGAATTATAATCTATTATAATTGTTCAAACTCACCTTTTTTCAAAAAAAAAAAAATGATTTATATTCAATTAGAATTGATTACGAAGGTTTGGATTTTTCTGCAAAAAATATCTAACAAAATGGTAGTTTTTTAGCAATTGTATTCCATTATTTTCAAATTTCAGACAAACAGACGATAAAAATCCAATATAATTTATAATTCATGAGACATGAGACTCCAGTGATGGCATGCACTATCCTAAATGTGCATAGAGCCTACGTAAACTGTTTGCGTAATATTTTGATGACTTTAACTGTGATGAAACCGTAATGCGAATTATTATCCCGCACGCAAAATTTTTGCTAATTGAAATCACGAAAGCTAATTGGTCAAAACAGTTCCTTATTTCACTCAAGTTTTAACCAATTAAAGGGAAGTATGAAGAGTCAAGATTTTGCCTGTTACACGAGCTGGCTTGTTTTACTGCAAAAAAACACAGCCTATCCCAACTTTTTTTAACAAATTTTAGAAATGAACCACGATCATATTATCATGAAATACCTATACATACACTACATGACAAACATGGGTTCCTTTACCATAAGCAGATCCAACATTTTCACTCACTCGTTGTCGTCTAGTGTGAGATGTGTTAACTGTGTGTGGGGGAGGCTCTCTGCGAACCTCAATGCACTTTTGGGGGAGAGGGAACAGTTCCACAGTTCAATCTGGCGCAGGTAGCGGTACTTCTTTTGTCGCTCCAGCATCATACACTTGAAAACAAAGTTCATTTTTTTTCTTGTGATGCATCGATTACATAGTTTGACAAAGCAAAACTGACCACAAGAAACAAAATAGGAAATATTTTTATTAGCATCCGATTTTTGTTCACTTAAAAAGTTTTCTCGAAAAGTTCTACTGAAAAATTTCCCTCACGCAATTCCCCGCAACAAATCCCCTAAAAAAAAACCCTAGAAAATTCCACCGAAAAATTTCTCTGTCAAAAAAAGCCCGCACGTTTTTTGGATCATCTTACCAATTTGGCGAATTCAGTGAAGTCGAGTTTGATGTCCCAGCAGATGAGGTCTCTGAAGTAGATGTAGTTGGACTCATTCAAGGCTCTCAGAAGGAGTTCCAGATTGACTTCCAGGGGAACCACGAAACTGTCTCTCAGTGCCGGCTTCTTGGGCATCTTCACTGACACCGGGTGTACAATCAACTAAAAGAGTGGAGCTTTTTTGTGATCAAAATATCCAGATCAAATTATCCAGATCAAACTCCCAGAGTCCCTCAAGTGGTCATTTACATAATTTATATCGATCAATGTAAACTTACACTGGAAACAAATTATGATTACTATTATTAGTTGTGTGAAAAGCTGAGAAAAAACAGTAGAAAAACTTTTCAAAATATTAACTTTATATTCGGATAGGATAGGATGCCATTAATCCAAAAAGAATACACACGGATCTAAACGATTTCATATAGTATGAACATTCGATACAAAAAATGCACGGAAAAACTCATATAATACCAGGCGTTTTTTACAAGTACAGTTCTAATATTAAACATTAAAAAAAACTAAAATCTTCTTGAGGGGGGGGGGGGGGGGGGGGGTGCTGATTTTCAAAAAAATGGAATATTTTGCCGATCTTTTTTTGTTTTAAATTGTCCAAATTGATTTCCCGATTGCTCACACAACACTATAAAGAACCATTTTTACAAAAAAATTTGGCGGAAAAAGCAAATTTATGGAAAACTTTCCAAAAATACCGTTTTTGGGCACTTTTTGGAAAGTTTTGACCACAAGACATCGTTTTTACGCCCGCTTCCTTTCAAAACTAATTGGCGTTAAAGGAGCCCATAATAAAACTTTAAAGTTGGTCAGCCTAATATCGATGCCATAAAAAGTTCAAAGTAGAGACCCTTTGGTTGGTGAAGGAGTCAAATCCTGGAGGGGTGAGAGGGCGCGTCGGCCCCTGTGGACTACAATGTATCGTTAACGTACCCTGGTGAGTATCTGTTCGGCGTCTATGTGGTGTTGCATGGCTCTCTTCAGGTCACTACACACTCTTCTGTTCTCCTCTTTACTCAGTCTGTCATACACCTTCACACATTACAGACTCAGGATTTGACACCACTTATCTTTTTAGCTTTTTTCAGTTTCTTATACAACTTTTAGCTTTTTTAAGGGTTAAACTCTCTGAGGTTAAGAAAAATAATTCAATTTGTAGCTTTTTTAAAGGTTAAATTCTCTGAGTTTAAGAAAAATTATTCAATTTTTAGCTTTTTTAAGGGTTAAATTCTCTGAGTTTGGGTTAGCTCAGTTTGATCTAATTTTGCTGAAATGTATAAATTGTTTTTATATGCAGCTTTTTATATTCGTTTATTGTACTGTAATTACTTTTGTACGGTAACAACCAACAGAGCTGTTAGTTTTCGATATAGTTATCTAGATTTTCCAAATGCTGCAATAGCGTGAAAAAGACGTTCTCTTACTATTTTTTTCTAAATATAAATGAACTTTATCTAAAAGTTTTTAAATTCAGGGTTTTGAATCAACAAGTAAAATAATTACGTCAAACTCAAAAAAAGTTATAATTGAAACTTTGTGACAAAAAATAACCTTTAGAAGCGGACTCCTCTCAAGTTTGTATAAAAATGGTCGAGTTTTTTTATGTAACTAAAGCTTCTTGAAAATTAGTTATCATTAAGTCAAAGCCTGCATACCTTCATCAGTTTCTTGACAGCCTCTTCGGGTGGCTGACCAATTTCGATCTCGTCCCCCTTTTTGCCCTTCTTCTTACCTTTCTTCCCACCCTTCTTGCCCCCCTTTTTGGGCATCCTCACTTCACCTCAATATTCTGCGAATAAAAGAGTTATCAGACTGCAGGTTCAATAGTTTGATAACTAAAAAAGATATAAAGGTCAAGTAATAAGAGCATTGTTTTTTACTAGTGATTTTAATTTTACGAAGAATTATAGGTGATGGCGATCACTGGGAAATTTTTGAATTTTAAAATATGATTGATTGTCAAATTAGCCTCGAAAATTTAAACTTAATTAGAGGCCAGAAAAGGCAAAACTCAAGAACTAACAATTGGTAAGAAAACGGTTTCAAACTCAAATTGTAATATTTTTTATATTGCTTATGCATAAATCAAAGACGTGTTGGAATTGCATTTATTTTTAATAAAACATAACAAATGAGACTACTATTTATAATACAGATTGTATTGTAAAGATTATGTGATCAAACGGTGGAACCAGCTTCACGTGCACCTTTTTTGAACGCAATTGTTATAATCTGAAAATGAAATTTGCGAACACAGGATTTTTTTAAAATGGTTGTTAAAGAGTCGAGGATTCGAAAATAGCTAAAAATTCTGCAAAAAATGTTTCGAGCTTCAAAAAATCGGATAAACTAATTAAACATTTAAAAATTGGAGAAAAAAATGTTCTCTAGTTTTGCGGCGAGGGGACTGGTTCAGGTGTTAGCTTCATCTTCCTGGATGCACTCGTAAAAAAGATAAAAATAAAAAGGGCAGGGGTGGATGGCATTGAGGGGGGGGGGTGGGTGTTGTTTGATTCAACCTGAGGGATTCGACCCTCTACCGACCTTTTGGTACTATTTTGAGATTTACATTTTTGGGTGATGGGCTCTGAAATTTTTCTTTCTAAAGGTGCCTTTGGGGGCCAATCTATGCTAATTTTGATATGAGCGCGCACTAAAAATAGCACTTTCTAAAAAGTGACCAAAATCGCTATTTTCGGCTTGTTTTTTTTTTGCTCGAAGCGGAATAAATTTGCTTGCGGCGCAGTAACTTTCCTAGCGGCGAAGTAAGTTTGGTCCAAAAAAGGTCTTTATAACAATCTAGAGAGCTCAAAGAATCAACTTGGTCGAAAGGTCGACAAAATTTTTAAATTTTTCACAATCATCAGCGAGAAAATCTCAGATCAGCCTTCGAAAAAAGGTAATGCAATTGAAAACGAAATGAGTACAGGAAGAATGGACTTCATAGAATCTTAACTCCCAACAAGACTGCTCGTATCAGGGCAAAGCCCTGAATGTTCCGATTGCCTTTTAAGGTTTATGGAGCAGTAATAACATTTAAAAATTCAATGAAATAAAAAAAAAAAATTCTAAAATTTGAAATTTTTTATGAAAATCATCCCCCCACACGCCATACAAAGTAGAAAAGGAGAGATTTCGCTCCTTGTAACAAACCAATTATGGCAAAGAAATCATTTTAATCAAATTGGAACGATTTCTAAGACGGATTAACTCTCCGCTTACTTGTTAATAGCGCGAAATATATCGCGCGTTAATTGTCCCAAATTGGCCAAAATGGCAATCTTAAAAACCCCGTAACTTTACGAAAAAAAATCACAGGTGAAATATCTTTTTAAACTTGAGCTCAGGACAACAATACCTTTCGAATGATTTTAAAAAATTCCGTCAAAAATGGCTAGTTAAAAAGTCAAAATTTGTCTGAAGAAAAAAAAACACAACCGAGCACAAATATTCCGTTTTTTTCGTATCGAAAGTCGGAACAAAAAGACCAAATTTACAAAAAATTTCTTTACAATGGAATAGTTTACTTACATTTTTGATTCAGCTCGGACTACAACAAAGCCTTTTGATTTTTACAGATTTGCCAGCAAAAAAAAACTCCACCAAAAAGTCAAAAAACAAATGTTTTCCCCAAGGTGAGTGCTAGGCACGTCAAGGCCTTCTAGTGGCGGTCCTGTATATGATCACAAAAGAGTATGCCCGTCTAGCTATCTGAACAATGCTTAGATTTTTGCTTCTACAATGCTTCCAGTGGCGGTCCTGTATATGATCAGAAAGTATGCTCGTCTAGCTATCTGGACAATGCTTAGATTTTTGCTTCTACAATGCTTCCAGTGGCGGTCCTGTATATGATCAGAAAGTATTCTCGTCTAGCTATCTGGACAATGCTTAGATTTTTGCTTCTACAATGCTTCCAGTCGCGGTCCTGTATATGATCAGAAAGTATGCTCGTCTAGCTATCTGGACAAGGCTTAGATTTTTGCTTCTACAATACTTCCAGTGGCGGTCCTGTATATGATCAAAAAGTATGCTCATCTAGCTATCTGGACAATGCTTAGATTTTTGCTTTTACAATGCTTCCAGTGGCGGTCCTGTATATGATCAGAAAGTATGCTTGTCTAGCTATCTAGACAATGCTTAGATTTTTGCAACTACAATGCTTGCAGTGGCAGTCCTGTATTTGATCAGAAAAAATGCTCGTGTAGCTATCTAGACAATGCTTTTGAGGAAAAAGCGACCCTCGAGCAAAATTTTTCGGTTTTTTCTACGAAAGTCGGAACAATTAAAAATATTGCAAGAAAAGATTCCCTTACAAAAATATGTTCAGTTAGTTATCAACTCGTTAAAAAAGATTAAATAAAAAGTATCTTGTTTATTGATTCCCGTCTCAAAAATAGGTGATATTGTTAAAGGGATGTAATGTATTCTATTTTTCAATTTTCAATTTCAATCATTTCAATTTTCAATCATGAGATTCTGTTAAATTATAAAATTTCAGAGACTGATTTTTTTAATGATAAAATTATTGGATTGAGATACTAAAGACCAAAACATCAAACGTTCAGTTTTGTCTAAGTTATGAGCAAAAACTAATGAGCAACCTCTTATTTGAGAGTTTTTTGTTCTATATTGCTTTTGCAAAAAATGCAGGGTGAAGTAATATATGACATTAAAACCGTACAGTTTTAATTTACAAAAGAACTCTGTACAATGGAATAGTTTACTTACACTTTTGATTCAGCTCGGACTAAAACAAAGCATTTTGATTTTTACAGATTTGCCAGCAAAAAAACTTCACCAAAAAGTCAAAAAACAAATGTTTTTCCCAAGGTGAGTGCTAGGCAAACCAAGGCCTTCTAGTGGCAGTCCTGTATAGGATCACAAAAAGGTATGCCCGTCTAGCTATCTGGACAATGCTTAGATTTTTGCTTCTACAATGCTTCCAGTGGCGGTCCTGTATATGATCAGAAAGTATGCTCGTCTAGCTATCTGGACAATGCTTAGATTTTTGCTTCTACAATGCTTCCAGTGGCGGTCCTGTATATGATCAGAAAGTATGCTCGTCTAGCTATCTGGACAATGCTTAGACTTTTGCTTCTACAATGCTTCCAGTGGCGGTCCTGTATATGATCAGAAAGTATGCTCGTCTAGCTATCTGGACAATGCTTAGATTTTTGCTTCTACAATGCTTCCAGTGGCGGTCCTGTATATGATCAGAAAGTATGCTCGTCTAGCTATCTGGACAATGCTTAGATTTTTGCTTCTACAATGCTTCCAGTGGCGGTCCTGTATATGATCAGAAAGTATGCTCGTCTAGCTATCTGGACAATGCTTAGACTTTTGCTTCTACAATGCTTCCAGTGGCGGTCCTGTATATGATCAGAAAGTATGCTCGTCTAGCTATCTGGACAATGCTTAGACTTTTGCTTCTACAATGCTTCCAGTGGCGGTCCTGTATATGATCAGAAAGTATGCTCGTCTAGCTATCTGGACAATGCTTAGACCTTGCTTCTACAATGCTTACAGTGGCGGTCCTGTATATGATCAGAAAGTATGCTCGTCTAGCTATCTGGACAATGCTTAGACTTTTGCTTCTACAATGCTTCCAGTGGCGGTCCTGTATATGATCAGAAAGTATGCTCGTCTAGCTATCTGGACAATGCTTAGACTTTTGCTTCTACAATGCTTCCAGTGGCGGTCCTGTATATGATCAGAAAGTATGCTCGTCTAGCTATCTGGACAATGCTTAGATTTTTGCTTCTACAATGCTTCCAGTGGTGGTCCTGTATATGATCAGAAAGTATGCTCGTCTAGCTATCTGGACAATGCTTAGACTTTTGCTTCTACAATGCTTCCAGTGGCGGTCCTGTATATGATCAGAAAGTATGCTCGTCTAGCTATCTGGACAATGCTTAGACTTTTGCTTCTACAATGCTTCCAGTGGCGGTCCTGTATATGATCAGAAAGTATGCTCGTCTAGCTATCTGGACAATGCTTAGACTTTTGCTTCTACAATGCTTCCAGTGGCGGTCCTGTATATGATCAGAAAGTATGCTCGTCTAGCTATCTGGACAATGCTTAGACTTTTGCTTCTACAATGCTTCCAGTGGCGGTCCTGTATATGATCAGAAAGTATGCTCGTCTAGCTATCTGGACAATGCTTAGACTTTTGCTTCTACAATGCTTCCAGTGGCGGTCCTGTATATGATCAGAAAGTATGCTCGTCTAGCTATCTGGACAATGCTTAGACTTTTGCTTCTACAATGCTTCCAGTGGCGGTCCTGTATATGATCAGAAAGTATGCTCGTCTAGCTATCTGGACAATGCTTAGACTTTTGCTTCTACAATGCTTCCAGTGGCGGTCCTGTATATGATCAGAAAGTATGCTCGTCTAGCTATCTGGACAATGCTTAGACTTTTGCTTCTACAATGCTTCCAGTGGCGGTCCTGTATATGATCAGAAAGTATGCTCGTCTAGCTATCTGGACAATGCTTAGACTTTTGCTTCTACAATGCTTCCAGTGGCGGTCCTGTATATGATCAGAAAGTATGCTCGTCTAGCTATCTGGACAATGCTTAGACTTTTGCTTCTACAATGCTTCCAGTGGCGGTCCTGTATATGATCAGAAAGTATGCTCGTCTAGCTATCTGGACAATGCTTAGACTTTTGCTTCTACAATAATTCCAGTGGCGGTCCTGTATATGATCAGAAAGTATGCTCGTCTAGCTATCTGGACAATGCTTAGACTTTTGCTTCTACAATGCTTCCAGTGGCGGTCCTGTATATGATCAGAAAGTATGCTCGTCTAGCTATCTGGACAATGCTTAGACTTTTGCTTCTACAATGCTTCCAGTGGCGGTCCTGTATATGATCAGAAAGTATGCTCGTCTAGCTATCTGGACAATGCTTAGACTTTTGCTTCTACAATGCTTCCAGTGGCGGTCCTGTATATGATCAGAAAGTATGCTCGTCTAGCTATCTGGACAATGCTTAGACTTTTGCTTCTACAATGCTTCCAGTGGCGGTCCTGTATATGATCAGAAAGTATGCTCGTCTAGCTATCTGGACAATGCTTAGACTTTTGCTTCTACAATGCTTCCAGTGGCGGTCCTGTATATGATCAGAAAGTATGCTCGTCTAGCTATCTGGACAATGCTTAGACTTTTGCTTCTACAATGCTTTCAGTGGCGGTCCTGTATATGATCAGAAAGTATGCTCGTCTAGCTATCTGGACAATGCTTACACTTTTGCTTCTACAATGCTTCCAGTGGCGGTCCTGTATATGATCAGAAAGTATGCTCGTCTAGCTATCTGGACAATGCTTAGACTTTTGCTTCTACAATGCTTCCAGTGGCGGTCCTGTATATGATCAGAAAGTATGCTCGTCTAGCTATCTGGACAATGCTTAGACTTTTGCTTCTACAATGCTTCCAGTGGCGGTCCTGTATATGATCAGAAAGTATGCTCGTCTAGCTATCTGGACAATGCTTAGACTTTTGCTTCTACAATGCTTCCAGTGGCGGTCCTGTATATGATCAGAAAGTATGCTCGTCTAGCTATCTGGACAATGCTTAGACTTTTGCTTCTACAATGCTTTCAGTGGCGGTCCTGTATATGATCAGAAAGTATGCTCGTCTAGCTATCTGGACAATGCTTAGACTTTTGCTTCTACAATGCTTCCAGTGGCGGTCCTGTATATGATCAGAAAGTATGCTCGTCTAGCTATCTGGACAATGCTTACACTTTTGCTTCTACAATGCTTCCAGTGGCGGTCCTGTATATGATCAGAAAGTATGCTCGTCTAGCTATCTGGACAATGCTTAGACTTTTGCTTCTACAATGCTTCCAGTGGCGGTCCTGTATATGATCAGAAAGTATGCTCGTCTAGCTATCTGGACAATGCTTACACTTTTGCTTCTACAATGCTTCCAGTGGCGGTCCTGTATATGATCAGAAAGTATGCTCGTCTAGCTATCTGGACAATGCTTACACTTTTGCTTCTACAATGCTTTCAGTGGCGGTCCTGTATATGATCAGAAAGTATGCTCGTCTAGCTATCTGGACAATGCTTAGACTTTTGCTTCTACAATGCTTCCAGTGGCGGTCCTGTATATGATCAGAAAGTATGCTCGTCTAGCTAACTGGGCGATGCCTAGATTTTTCAGATTATGTTCAGATTTTGCTTTGAACTATGTTCAGATGGCCATGCATGAAGTAACTGTCAACGGCATTTTTATGCACTAGTCTGGCCTTAATGGCTGAAAAATAAAAACTTCACAATCGTAGAAACTAGTGAATTTCATTTTCTGAAACCAGAACTATATTGTTTTCTGTATCTGTTGTCATTACGCAATACAATGCCTAGACCATTTTGACTTCTTAAATTCGGAATTGACGTGTGCTGTTTACAAGATTGTCTCCATGATAAGAACACCTCTCTGAATTTAAATCTGAACAATTAACGGGTCCAAAACAATTTCCTTCAAATAATTTCATCAGCTTTTAGTCAAAGCTTTCGCTCAGTATCTTCTATAAATGCAGAAAAAAAGAAGCGTGCGCAAAACTTTTCTTGATTTTTTGGTTGAAATCAGAGGTTCAAAGCAATTTGAAACTTTACTGTTGTTCAATTGGGCTCTATGGGTCAAGGTCAAAAGATTTATAAAACTGACGAAAATAATTCATCAACATTTTTTTGGGTTTATGTACTTCTCAAGACAAATTGAAAACTCTAAATTGAGTACTCGTGAACAATTCTTAACAGGCGATATTCCGTAACAGGTAGCGCTTCTTAAACAGCTACAATTCGTACCAGTAGATTAAATGGGGGACACTGATTACGCTCAGTATTCCACGCGTTCCGGATGTAAGCGCAGCGGAGCGAAGCGCAGCAAACTTATCCTTCTTGCCCAAGACTTGTTACGACTTGTCGCATGTTAGGAATTGTCGCTGGTTACAAATTGTATTCCTAACTTGAATACTGTTCCAAACCAAAACCTTTTAAAATATTCGAACGAAGAAGTTTTTTTTTCATTATGAAAATTTTGTGTTGAATATTTGATAATTTTCAGTGTACCACTTTTTCTAAATTTCAATCATGGGATTCTTTTACATTATAAAATTTCAGAGACGCTCTTGTTTTGCGTTGATTTTGAGTTTTTTTACTGATAAAATTATTGGAATGAGATACTAAAGTTCAAAACAACAAAACGTTCAGTTCTGTCAAAGTTATGAGCGAAAATGAAACCAACCTGTTATTTGAGAGTTTTTGTTTTATTTTGTTTTTTCAAGTACCCCAAAAAAATGAGGTGTGAAGTAATATATGACATTAAAACCGTACATTTCGTTTCAGCTACAAATAAACTTTTTTTTGAAAAAATTGCAGTCTCTTGTTTAGCTGATAACTTGATCCGATATACGGTTCCAAGACAGTTACCTTTCTGTTTTGCAGTAATTCGTTTAATTCGTTTTCGTAATTTTAATTTCAACTCATTGTTGATACTACTTGATTCGAAGCGCGCCAATTAATCTAAATAATAAACATTTTTAGGCAACATTATTCAAATTGTATTTGACATTGTTTGTTTGCATTATTCAAATTATATTTGACATTGTTTGTTTGCATTATTCAAATTGTATTTGACATTATTCAAACTATATAAAAAAAGGCAAAATCCTTTTTGTAAATATGTTTTTTTCTCGCCAAAAACTAGGTAGGTTAAAATACAATCTGAACATTCGGGTCTTTGTTCTAATATTTTCAGTTTTGTTCTAATTTATGACTGTTTGGACAGCTGGTTATACAAAGACAGGGCTATAAAATGTGTTGGTATTACTGGTATTACTATAAACTGTGTTTTATTATCAATTTTTCACCTGAAGGGTTTTTATGGTAACTTTCACGCTTAATAGAATCGCGTTTACCATTGTGTCAATTTAATAGAACATCTATCATGTTTGTGTCAATTTAACAGACTTCAAAACCCGCGATCATTTTAAGGTTTTCAATCAAAATTTTCCAAATTGTATTCTGTTCGGTTTTAATAGCAAATTGAAACTAATTGATTAAAATTTATTCAATTTATTACAAATGACGCTGCTGCGTGGTTTTGACAAAACCTGGCTAGTTGATGATTCGAGACACAGTCTTGACTTCCCAAAAGTAGACCAGCATCAGGAGGGCAGAAATTTCATCAGGAATGAAAATAACGTCAAATCTGATGACGAAGAAAATGACGATGACGACGATGAGACAAAAACATCTCAACGGAGCTTTGTGAAGAAGTTTCCACCCGTTATCAAGTGAGTTGAACATTTTTCGGATCTCTTTAACTATATCCCCCCTTCTGCAAAAGAGGAGAGGGAGGTAATCGTTATTAGGTATAAAATTCTGATATGCTTAACCGTTGATTTATTTCTTTAAGGGGCGATACTCGTTACTAGGTACCCGAAGGGGGATTTAGTAAAAGAGATCCCATCTTGTAAAAACGATTTATACACGGAGGTCAATTCATTTATGCAAATTGCTATCGCAATGAAGACAACTGGGCTTTAATTTTCATTCGTCTATTATGAAAACCTAGGCTGATATATTTCGTTAACTTTCCCGAAATAATTTAACCTTTTTGACGGACGCATCTTCCCCATGAAGGGGGGGGGGACGCCCTATGATTTTGGCAGTCTTTTTTTTCACTGAAACCCCTGATGGAGTAAGTTTAGCGTAATGCGACAACTGACAACAAAAATTAATTCGAATTTAAAAAAAAAAGTAGTTAGTCTCACCACCGCGGTCGCTTCAAGAGGGTAGGATTTAATAGGAAAATTTAGAGCCGGTTATCGCCGCGAAGTGAGCTTAAACCAAAATTTTGTCGTTAAAAATTGATTTTCAAAACTTTGCGAGCTGTAGCTTTTCTTAAATTTTGCGATCTAGGATTTTCTCAAGGGGGGGGGGGGAATGGTGGTATTTTGAAAAAAAAAAAATAGCAAATTTTGTCGACTTCTTTAAGGTCGACCACTTTTTTTTCGAGCACTCTTAGGACACTATAAAGTCTCCATTTTGGCCAAAATTTATGCGCCACAGGCTAATTAAAAAAACTGGCCAAAAAGAGCTTTTAGGCACTTTTAGAAAATTATAACCAAAAATTGCGTTTTTTCGGCACGCGCTCCCCTTCAATATTAGTATATATTGGTGCCATTTAGAATATCTTAAAAAACTACTAAAGGGGGACCCTTTCGGTTGACAGGGAGTCGAATCCTTGAGACGGGGAGGCGTCCGCCCCCGCCCCTCTTCCTAAATGTGCCCCTGACTATAAATGATCTTAATTTGAAGATTTTTAATTTATGAAGGCCCAAGCACCAAGTGCCCGTCCTGCGCTACCCTGTGGATGCAAGGAGGAGCAAGCGGGTGTTTGAGATCACCAATGCCAGACTGAAAGGCAGGAGGGCCCTGTTCCCAGTGAAGAAGAAGATTCCCATACAGCGCTTGATCCCATTGACTATAGTGGCGGAGAGCGAAGACTTCAGGGTAAGACAATGGGGGGGGGGGGGGTTATTTTCATTACCAAAGGACCGAATGCGTGAAATTTATCAACCAATCAACGCCCTTTAAACTGCCCAAAACAGACTGAATTTATCCATATTTATTGACAAAAAAATAAATAAACTAATCAATTTGAGTGAAACTGATAAAATAGTAAGATTGATTTTATGTCTTCAAAACCTATTAAAAACTGATTCACAATTAAAACGAAACAGCTCAAAATTGACGGAAAAATGACAAGAAAAAAGAAAAAATCATCTTCTTCACCGCTCTCCAAAACTTCTTAGACAGTCTAGTTTTATTGATCGTTGCTGAATTCAGCTGTAGCTGTATAAATGAAAGATCTTTCAAAGATGATGTGGTCTGGGGTTAAAGGTAGATTGTCCGCGAAATCGCTTTCATTATGCGTCAATAGTTGTCCGAAAAGTAGCTCTTCGGTGTCCGCAATGACAGAAATGAAGATATCCGGAGAGGCACAAGTTTGGAGGGATTGCTCCATTAACCATTTGAAAGATCGTCCCCCCAGATCAATAACAACTGATCATTAAAATTTGAAAACTTGCTTAGAGCAATCAAAATTTTGTGATCAGTAGTTTATCGAAAACTCTTGATTCAACACCTAAATATGTGACCTTATAAATTGCTATAAACATTTATGGGGTGATGTATTTACGCAATGAACCTAAAATTTTCAATGCATATAGTCAATGAACCTAAATTTTTCAATGAATGTAGTTTACCAATCACGAAAAATTTATCAATAAAAACTATTTTTGATTTTTGTTTTAGGAATTATCAGCTGTTCAAAAAAATTAGGGAGAGAACTCTTTGGGTGATTAATGAATCAAACTTTCCGATTCTCGAAATGGAGCAACTCTCCTGAACTTCTACATTTCTTTTATTCCGAAAACTGAAGAGCGGTTGTGCGGACAATTATTGACGCATGTGGTACTGCTACTGCGCTTGCAGTACTGAAGCCTTGAGAGACCTTTATTTATGTAAGTAATACCTATGTTTTATTATATTAAAACATTGTCCAAGGTTACTGGAGTGCAAACCTTCGGTTAGCAGCTGAAGAACTCAGTCTGTCAAGTAACTACGCTTAAACAGCAGGACTTAGAGAAAATAGCCAAAAAACAGCAGAAAAACTTAATTCCTTGGAACTATAAATTAGTTTTATCTCAATTCAGTCGCGTAGGGTATCACATGGCGCAGTCGGCAGGGTTGTCAGCACAAGACAATCGCTCAGACATGGGAATACCAGTATTTCGGGCATCAGCGAGCTTAGATCCACCGAGGCAATTTAAAACTTGGTTAGAACAGTTTCCAATGGCGGTCACAGTGAAGGAAAAGGTCAATCTAGAGATTATGCTTGAAGACCCAAAAGAAATAATGGAAGAACCACGCCAAGACCAGAAAAATTTAGAAATGGGGAAAGATGCGAACGCCATAGCGGCGAGAGAACTAAGAGACAAACTAGCCAGATACAGGATCGTGCTTGAGAATGGAAAAAGAGAGCCAGAGGCCTAGTAGTTGGCCACAACATCTACTACAGAAAGGTACAAAAGAAAAGCGTAACCAGATTAATCTTTTCTTGGTTCTTACAAAACAGGTTCTTGCTGTCATTTAAGGAAACGTCGAGCTAGTAGCGGATTCATTTCAGAAAGTAAAATGTGTAACATACTAAAGATGCAACTTCTTCAGAAAAACACAAGAGCAGGTAGAGATCTTAAAGGCAATTCACGCAACACTAATTATACAAGCAGAAAAATCTGAGATGGGATTTCAGGAGGATGAAATTGTCGTTGATTTATCTTTTCAAAAACGAAAAAGATAACTATCCAGGACGCGCTGACATATGAAACACTTGCACCAGAGGAGTTGCTCAAAATGGCTATCAAATTCGAACACAGCAAAACTAACCAGGTTGGCGTTTCAGTAACAGCAAGGACCCATAACTTGGGTATCAAAACGAAATGAAAACCAATAATGGCAGTATCAAGTAAAACGGAGAGAACAGGAAACTACTCTTCAAAAGAGACATCAATAAAAACAAAACAGCTATAAAAACACAATCATAAGTGGATAAAAGCACATTTCAAAATGGCCACTGGGAATTTAGCCCTGCCATGGGAAAAACGTGTAAGAATTGCAACTAATCCAATCAATTCAAAAAAAAATTGTGCAGATTACAGCAGGTGAGTGAAATAACAAAAGGTTAGGATATATCGGATTGAGAATGTAATTTAGTAAAGAAGAGTTTGGTTTGTGAGAAGAACTCAAATTCTTGTCCGTACAAGCAAACAAACCAGTTGATATGTAACAGACAGAATAAAAGAACCAAAACGGTCATAACTAACTAGAAGAAGTAAGATAACAAAAAATTGACCTAATCAGAGATCCAAAGATCAACAAGGTGAAACCACTAAAAACCTTGGTCCGAATTGAGAACCAGATACTTCAACTAAAGGTGGTAACAGGTAAGCCGGTATCATTCTCAAACTGGGCAACAACAAAAAAATCATAGATAGATCAAGAAAACCAAAATTATTACTGGCAGAGAAACTAAACTTGGCGGCTCAATTTGTACACTACAACAAACAACCGATTCCCATATAAGGGGCTCTCAAAACAGACTGACAATCAGCAGGCTGAGAGGTGAAAGGAGCTACTTTACTAGTCACAGAACGCAGATCCAGATGCATATTGGGACTGGACCTCTGGGGTCAAGTCGGAAAATCTACCATACAAAAGCTGGCACCAAGGGATTTGTCAAGATTTGACATGCTACTGTGCGTGCAGTCAGAAGGTTCGAAATTTAATTATTACAAAAATTTAAGGACCTATTTAAAAGACAAGAAACTTCAGAAAATCATATAAGGAGTTCAAAATCCAATCACTTCCTTTGTCCAATTCATGAAACAGGGAAGAGAAAACCAATTCACATACCCAATTAGGAACAGTTGGAATGCAAAATTTAATATCGGCAGTTCCTATTAAGGCACTCGAAAAAAGGACCAAAGATTGTTTTATTGTACCATTTGTGATAACAGTCAAGAAATATGACTCGATAAGACTTGCATTAAATGCGAAACTGATCAAAAGGCATTTAATAAAAACAAGTACCAAATGCCAAATGTCGATTAATTGACAGACGGGCAGGGTCAAATCGCCATAGAAGAAAAAACGGGTACGTTTTACTCTATGGTATTTGATTTAAAAATATTCGTTCAGTCAATTAAATTTGGTTGTGAACCTGTGAACACAGCTCGACAGTGCAATTTTAACTCGTAGATGGTAATGCTACAGGAACAAATAGAGTCCTGACAGGATTTTACAGAGTGGGAGATATCCCAGCCCAGTTTCAAAAAACCAAGGACAGGACAACTAACCAAGCTAAAAAATACATTCTGCTTTCTGGACGATATACTCATCAGTCAAAAAGTGAAGAACTAAAACATGTAAAAATTAGTGAAGAAGATTATAAAAAACTTGAACGAGGAATATCTGGCAATGAAAATTTCCGAGTGTGAATTCTTCAAAAATGAGGTAGATTGATTAAACCATCAGCTATCAGAGTCGGTGTTTTTAACCAAAATTCACTAAAACAGGCTATTCAGAAACTCAGCCCTCCAAAATCACTAAAAAACTAGGTAGTTTAAATCAAGTGTCTAAATATATTCCAAACCCAGCACCAAAAGAAAATAAACTTTTAAAAATTTGAGACTCCCACTGAATAAATTTGAATGGGGGGAGAAGCATACAACCGTCTTTGAGAGTATCAAAAACGCAGTTGCAAATATCTCAGAAGTAATTTATTATAATTCAAAAAGGAGTTACTAGAGTTAAGTGTGACGCAAGTCAAAATGGTTTGGTGTTCACCTTAAAAAATCAAACAAGGGGGAATGGGCTACAATCTCTTTTGCATCTAGATACCTAAACCTCAAGAACACAAAATATTCTTTCCATGAACTAGAACTCCTTGCGGTTGTTTGAGCAGTAGACAGGTGCAAACACTATCTTCTAGGTCATTAAATTATCATTGCAACTGACCATGTCGTCAGTCCTGGATACAAAAAGATCAAACACTACATACCGATCTAGATTGACCCGGTGGTTAGATAGGTTATTGCCCTATCAGTCCGAAATAGTTCGCATTCCAGGGAAGGACATGGGAATTGTTGACTTTTTGTCAAGGCAACTGCAACGTGATCCATGGCCCGAATCCGAGTTAGACAAAAAATTCGTAGTTATAGCAATCGATCCTTTTCATAAAGCTCTGGACTGCATGAGCAGTAGGCTAGAAAATAACGTTCGGCTCTCAACCGGAACGAAAACGTTCTAAGACATTCTAGAACAAAAAAGTACAAAACTCATCACCTCATGGATGCTATGGCAACCAAAACGGTCAAAAAAGAACAAAACTTAACCGGAACGAGATAAATCAACTTTCGCGACCGTCCAAACAAGTCATCATTCACTTATACAGCTACAACTAACTCCAGCAGCGATCACAGATTCAATGTGTCTAAAAATTTTATGAGAGAGGTGAAGGAGAATATGATTTGCTTCTTTTCTGTTATTCTAAAATAATATGCTCTGGCACCAATCAGGAAAACAAATAGTCGCAGCCAGAGGCTAAAAATTTTGCGCCCATACTCAATGCAGACAGGAAATTTGGCATGAAGTTTGAGTGAGTTCGTAAGTGAAAAGACCAGCGCTAGAGGAGAAAATTTGACGCACAGAAAAACTAATATAAGTAAGAACTAGAGAAAGTACTATTCCAATGTCAGTATTTTAACATTGCGCGAAGCAAAAAATTCAAAAAACGGCCATTTTGAAACTCTTAGATTCACCAAGACCCTCTGAACAAAATGCATAATTTTTTCATCAGTTTTCTACAATTCATCAGATTTCGGGTCGCAGGCAAGGATCCCCCTCTTTCTTCAGTATTTCGTCCTCTGACTACCTTTGGCACTATTTGG